ACCATGCATTTGCATACACCTTGATTGATGATCCGCTTGCTGTGTGCAGCATCGAGTTCACGCTCAACGATGGAATCCTCACCGTCGTAGAAGGAAACTTCTTCCACCCGAGACGTTCCTGGGATTCGTACGAATGAAACTCGATCTCCGCATTGATCATCATCGTCGTCAACCATGTCTCTCATAATCTGTGCCCTCAATCTCGCTTTGTGCTTGGCGAATTCCAAATTCACGGCGCGATCCTCATCGTTGACAAGCGCTTCCATGTCGACGTACTTCACCTTCCGCTCTTTGTCCTTCTTCGATCTTCTAGGACACGAAGAAATGAACTTCACGTCATCGGCGAATGTCACATTACGCTTTATCTCTTTTCGGGTCGACGTAGTCGGTCCCGAGGATTCGTCGTCTGTTGAACAATCCGAATCAGCGTCGCTGTCAACGGATGGACAATCTGACTCCTCCTCATCTTGTCTTGAAGATCGCTTCCATATCGCCGGGGCTGATGGATTCCACCTTCGGCACAATCTGATGGCGGGTGCCGCAGGGAGCGCCTTGGCCTTGGCATTCGGCTTCGCTGGAGCTGCCTTTGCTTCGGATTTGGCTTTAGCTTTTGCCTTTGGTTCCGGAGCTGGGGTAGCTGCTGCCTCATGCTTGAAAGGACAATTCTCTCTTGAGCACGAGCCTGTGTTCTTGAACGAGTAGCATATCCTGTTTCCTCCTCCTCCAGATGGACTTGGAGTTCTCGTCCTCGGCGTAAAGGGTCGCTCTGGAGTCTTCTTCGAGTGACTGAATGGGCACTTGTCACCATTTCGACACCCTGCATCTGTGAAATGGAACTTGCAGCGGATTTGCTTCTTGCTCTTGTCGCCTCTGTTGTCCGCTGACTCACTCCTCGTCTTCTTCTTGGGCTTTGGCTTGGTCTTCGCATGACTCTTCGCTTTGCTTTGAGGTAGTACAGGTGTTGCTTTATCCGGCTTGGTCGGCGAAGCCTTGACCTTTGCGGATGGAGCTGCGTTAGGCGTTGGTTTCTCAGGTACCTTGGCCGGTGCAGCAAGCAAATCCTTGCCCTCAAGCATCTGGCGCAAGCCAATTTGGGTCTGAGTGAGATTTGATTGTTCTCGTCTCCGCATGATGGTACGGTCGATGATCTTCATCAGATTGTCATACGATCGGTCTTCATGATTGTAGGGCAAGTGTTCGTAGTGCATGCCCAACTCCATCTTCATTGCGGGCGAGTCTTTGATCTTGCTGTACAAGCAATCACGGAGAGCTGTTTTGGATGGTATGTCTTCTGGCCTCATCCGTCCCAGAACTTCCAACCACGTCTGCTTGAACGTATGAAGCTTGTTGTCGCCTTGGTACTGGAGTTTCACCAGATACTCGAGAGTGATGATCATGTCGAGACGATCATGCGTTCGAAAACTTTCATACATCATCGCAATGATTTGTCGTCCTTTGATGATCTTCCCTTCGGGCCTGCTGATGTAATCGTTGGCCTTCCGGTTTACCTCCAGGTACAGATCAGCAGATTTGTCACCACCAGCGCGTAGCATTGCGACCATTGCGATCCCCAATTTGACGTCTACGCTCTTGAACTTCTTGTGTCCTGAATCGTTCAGTGCTTCGACATCAGGGAATGGGTTGAATGCTGGTGCCAGCCATAACATCCAGTCCTCATGATTTGGATCGGCTGATGCTCCTAAGACATTCGCCGTGCATACGGATCGCCAGTTGTTGAGGTGAGTGAGAGTAGGCCATGGAGGAACGGTCACTTTGTCGGCCTCCCTCCTGGAAATTCTCACCTCCGTGACTTCAGGATCTGCGTCTCCATCAGGATCACGCGCATGAGAGCCAGGATCCGATTCAGGTTTGCCTCCACCGCTTCTCTTCTTGTCATCATCATCATCAGGCGGGTCTGGAGGGTCATACCCCGTGCCGGTTCCTTCATCATGCTCTCCCTCTTCATTCTCGTCGCCAGCTTCGTCACCGTCATCGTCTCCATTATCCTCCTGAATCGTTTCAGCGAATAATCTCCACTCATCACGATCAGCTCTGAGACGCTGTTCGGCTTTCTGGGCCTTGAGTACTTCGCTTCGCAGATCGGCAATCTTCTCTTCGTACCGTTCCGCGACCTCTTTCTCGATCTGACGTCTCCTTGCTTCATGGATGGAATCGTCATAGGCGATAGGGGGACCTATAAGGTCGTTGCCCTTCGTAGATGCGGTGATGCCGTCGACACCAACAGGTCTTGAGGAGCTGGCAGATGCTGTGGACTTCGATCCCAACATCCCGCGATCCTCCAAGAGTTCGCGTAGCTGTCGATCACGCACGGCTGCCGCATCACTTTTCCCATGAAATCCGCTTGGTATGCCAAACAGAGTGGCTGCACTAGGCGTGGAACGCGCAAGTGCTGGGCTGCTAACACCTGGCACGTAGTGCTCGGGCATTGCATCCGCCACGATTGGCATTGAATTGCGGCCAGTGAAGAAGTTCCCACCGGTAAATGGAATTCCGTCCATCACAAGGTTCTTGTCCTTGTCCGATTCCGAGAATGCGAACTTCTCTTTGGCGACTGGACTAACTTGACTTGGGGACCGTATTTCAGGGGATCGTACCTCACCTCCTACGGAAAATGCAGGCACTACTTCCTTTCCTACGTGCTCCCAGCCAGACTCAGTAGTCCTCGAAGACATGGGCATGCTCGAAGGCCGTGTTGCTCCGCCATAGTTGGAGTTCCGCGCTGCCTCCAATTCGCTGCGTGTCCTCGCTTGAAGATCTTCTTGTGCTTTGAGTGTTTTCCTGAGTTCACTCAGCTCGTCGTGCAAGGTAGGCAATGCTCGCCTTGCATGATCTTCATTCTGATGAAGTCGGTCCTCTGCATCTTGCATCCTCCTCACAGCCATTTTGCGGTACTCTTCCTCTTCACCAAGACGCTCGCGAAGCCGAAGTCGTTCTTGATCAATGGCTGCGCTGTTTCCAGCTAGCCCTTGGATCTCGTTCACGGCCCGCAACTCCTGGTTCTTGACCAAGTGGAATCGTTCCTGCATTGCTTGTAAGGCTTGTTCCGAACTTGCTGTGTTCGACCGGAGGAACAAGTTCTCTCTGGCATGTTCATGAAGTTCATGAGTCAGACGCTCATACTCACGTGCCATAAGCTCACCATCGCCTTGCGCTCTTGCCTCCAACTGCACAAAGTTAGTGGCTGCCTCCGTGCGGAACACGTGTAGCTGTTGAGCTAACTCCTCGGCAACGGCATGTGCTTGACGTTGTTGAGCAGAGTTCTGTTCATCCATGCGAAACAAAGCTGTTTCATAGTCTCGCTTCATCTCCTGATTGACATTGTTGATGTGCCTCATGGCTAAGCATGCATGGTCACGTTGTCGTTCCAATTCTTCGATGCGAATTCCAGATCCTTCATCTTCTTGTTGCATCTCCTTGATCTTGTCCATCAGGGTCTGGACGACTCCTTCGTACTCTTGCATCTGACTGCGATAATACATCTGCTGCGCAAGGTTCGATGCTTCGAACTGTTGCGAAATCGTCAGCTCCTGATAAGCATTCGGACCATCGGCTATGGCTGGCGTGGCCACCGATGACGCATCACCACGTGCTGGGATAGTGTCCAGAGTCATATCCAGATCGTCAGCATCGCGTGGTTGGTTGGTAACCATCCGATTCCAAGTCATGGACTTGTCACGCCCACGAGTAACCGAAGTCCTTGATCGTGCTGAAGAGCTTCTCGAAGATGATGGTCTTGACTTCTTTTCCAAGGTCTTCACTCCTTTGTCCTTGGCCCTGGACGTAGTCCGAGGTGCCTGAAAACCAGACGCTTCGGCTCGTCGTTCGGGAGCCTTGCCCGTCCTCGAACCTGTGGATGTCGGACGCGAAGGCGTAGATGCTCTTGGTAGACTCTTTGCTTTCACCTTGGGAACTGCCTTTGCAATGGCAAGCGCAGAAGATTGACCTTTGTCATCTTCCGTGGAGCTATCAACGGATTGCACCACTGTGTCATCAGCTGTTGATTCACCAACGGCTGGCGCTGCCACATCGGCACCGAAAGTCATTGTCGTATCTTGGCTTGATCCCGAGTTCATTGTGGTCGTAGTAGATCAAGTAGTCGTTGCTGTAGAAAGGCAGAGCCGCGTACGGCTGATAACCTGCGTGGGGGATTGATCTCGACTAGGTTGCTGCTCTCCCCACCAGAGCTGTAATGAATGTAGGTGTGGCTGGCTTGCACTCTCCACAGACTGGACCCTGTCTCTCTCTCACTTCCACACGTGCAATCCTATGCAGGCAGAACCGGCGGCCGTTCCTTTTGCACTCACTGCCGGCGGCGGTTCGTCTGTGCAACGGGATAGCTCTGATTGCTCAGGATAGAAGACACTTATAGCACTTAGCTATGGGCATTGACTTGAGCCAAACGTTGCGTGGGCGGTCACATAGAAAGGTAAAGACGAGGGACGCGTAGCGTGCCCCCTTAGAGTCGAGGGACGCGTAGCGTGCCCCCTTCTCTTGCACTTTACACGGTTTTGCTCACAGCTCTTATAGTGACACCTTAGAACTTGACAAGGCATCGCAGCCCGTTCGCATTTATGTTGAACTGCTTTGTATCGTTTTGTGGTACAGTGTCTTATGTTCTGGTACACTCTGCGGTATCAGACTATGCTGTATTATGTTATGTTATACTGTACTATACCAGAAGATATTATACGATAATAAAATGTATTGCACTATACTATGTTCGGCTATGCTCTGCTGTATAGTATTAAATGTATGTTATGATATGTTGTATCATACTAGATGTTAGTGTGCTGTAAGTTATTATGTTCTGTTGCATTTTTGCATACTGCAGTATGTTTTACACTATATTATGTTAGATAAACCTTATTTGGTATTATGTTATACTATATTGTGGTCCATTCTTACATTTCAAAGCACATCATCTGTGATCTGCTGTGTTATATCCTCCTCTTACACAACCTCTTAAACTCTTGGCAGGCCTCGGCAAGGAGCCCCAAGGACAGCTCCCACTGAAGCATGCGGGAGCACGCGGTCATGGTCGTTGCGGCGGCTTTCTCCACGGCCTCGCCTCTAGACCAATGCTAAGTTTTTGCTATTATGAATCATGCTAATGCTCATGCTGATACTAACACTAAAACACTTACTTATGCTGTGAATGCTAATGCTAATCATAACCACTACGAGTACTGATATGAATACACGAATACAAATACTAAGGCAAAAGCCGACTGGCCCTGGGGTTGGGGGTTTAGGGTTTACGGAAAAGCCAAAACGGCTTCTTCGTTCAACCCATTCAAGACCCCAACGCTGAAGGTCGGCCTCCGTGGGCAAAAATCTGCAGCCTCAAAGCTCGCAAAGGCAAGTTCAGAAGCCGATTTGTTTCGCTACAAGTGTCTGAGGAGACCTGGATAACCGCGAGTATCAGACTTGCAAGACATGCTTGAAACGCTCAACAACTGTGCCCTGGCATAGCTCGCCAGCCCGTCTATGGCAGCTGAAGTTTCACACATCACACGTTTTGCATCCGGAGACTACCTCCAAGAGGAAATCGGGTGGCACGTGCAGGGCCCCTTTTGGTCTTTTCTTTCTTGCACTACTTCATGCGTTCGGGGGGCTTAATTTTGGCGGAGCAGTTGCCGAGACAATCACAAGACTCGCCGGCCTTTGCCTCGCGAAAAGTCATGCCTGATTCGAACCCCAGGTTTCGAGCTGCCCACCGTAAAAGGCCCAAGCTCATGGAGACGTCTCTGCCCCTTTCTGGAGCCGGGAAGCGCGGCGCGCCAGGCGCTGCCGCGCTCGCAGGCGCTGAGCAAGGCCAGGCGAGAGGGCGGCAGCCTTCCTGGCAACAGAAATTGTTATTGTTGTTATTATGTTTATGTATTTTCTTGTTATTTTCATTCTTGTCTTTCTTATCATTCTTATACTCTGTCATTTTTGATCATTCTTATCATTCTTATTGTTCTTATTATTCTTGTTACACTCTTCTTGTTCTTATTGTTGCTATTACTATTGCTACTTTGAGTATTACCAGTAACATAAGCCGCTTTTGGTCTTTGTCCAAGTTAGGAGGTTTGGGCCTCGGTGCACGGAAAGCTTTTCGAGATAGGCCTGGCTTGTGCAGGGTTCCGGCAAAGGGCTTCGGGTCCTCTTGGCTCTCTCCCAGATTGAGTTCCAGTGCTGGCCACGGAGAGCGTCCCAAGAACAAGAGTAGGAAGGAAGCACACACTGAGACGGCGCCGTTGGGCGCCTTGAGGATTAGTTTGGGGAAAAGCCCTGTGCACTGTGAGCGGCTATCGTGATTTGGGAAGCCGCTAGGAGATTCTTGCGCTTCAGTAATCTCGAGCTGGCTCAAGAAACGCAGATGGCAGCCAGCCTGCGAAGAACTAAATAGTCAAACCGGAATTGAAGGGACGGAGCACTGCGTGCCATGCCACTTCGGCACGTAGCTCTACCCAGTGCACGCGGCATTAGGACCTTATAGCACTCGATTAAGCAAAAATGCCAGGTTAACAACAGTTCCGCTCAGATCTTCTTATGTAGTGGGAGTTGCATGCGAAAGTACCGAACGATGTGTCCCTTTTGCCTGCGGATGTGGTGTGCAAGGAGGGATTGTTGGATCAGTGCATTGACCTGTGTTGCCTCGACCGAGGCTTATCTAGCACAAACACTCGAGTGTACTAGCATGTGAACACTGCACGGAGCATGTTCGAAAGGTCTACCATATCTTGTTAAGCTTCGAGCCCGTCACGGCATGCAAAGGTCCCTGGAGCTCAAAATTGAAACCAAGTACCGGGATGTCTTGATACTGGAAAAAACGGAGAACTTGATAGAAGCCCAAAGCAGATGAGATCATGAAAAGACAGTCAAGCAAAGACCCCTAATATATCCAAGGACCCTCAAGCGAAGACCCGTAGATAGCCCCACCAATACGAGACTCCTACGAGTACTTCCTAGAAACTGAACCCTCTCGCAGCGACCGAAGCTCTGAGTTTCCGAACTCTGTTTGCAGCCTGTCCTCGAGCACGGGCATCGCTGTAGATGCCCAGAGCCACCCGCCACTGTGCAGCTGCCTGGCAAGCCTGAGAAGCTTGCACTCATGCGCCAAAACTCGCAAGCGAGTGAACACGCACATCTTGGGGCATATTATGATCTTAAAAATATTATAGTATTACAGTATTGTCGTATTGCAGTATTATAGTACTGTGGTTTTTGTGGCAACCCACCGGGTTTTCAGCTCTTTTCTTACTGTGCTCGGGGGCTCGGGGCAACACTGCCCCCCATGGAGTCGGCAAGTCGCAGTCGCCCCAGTCTGTTTGAAACTTTTCGCGCGGGTCGGGACGTGCTTCCCGATGTCAGAGTGGGGCTTGGGCTCACATGTCAGAGGCTACGGAACTCCTGCTAGATCTTGTGCAGTGGCTGTGATGCCACTGGTTGTAGGCTCCAGCTTTTGTAAAGCCTTTTCACGCAGCCAGGCGGCCGTCATCACCGCGTTCCAACTTGGCGCATCCTGCAACCTGAATGCTAGAGGATCGGAACGGCAAACAGGTGCCAGGTTAAGCAGAACGACGCTAAATCTGTGCTTGCTTATTCAGGGCAACGGCCAGCCAAGGAACGACAGCGAAGGTCACAGCAAGAGAGAGGGAGCGAGAGAGAGAGCGAGAGAGAGAGAGAGAGACAGAGACAGAGACAGAGACAGAGACAGAGACACGTATAAACACGCGCTGCAAGATGCTGCAAGTATGCAATTAATCGTAATTATGCATGTCCGCATGTGAGTGATGGGTGGGTGGTTGGTGGGTGGATGGATGGAGGAAGGATGGATGGATGGACGATGGATGGGTTCATGGATCGAGGCATGGATAATGGATAGGTACAGGCACATGTATTAATTTATACAGGCAACTGCGTAGAAGAAGTGTATAGCATGCCTGTACCGGTTTATACATAAGCTTGCATGAGTGAAGTTTGTTCCGTTGCTTGTATGTAGGTACGACTGAACTTCGAAAGATTTCGTGGCACCCATCTCATCGGCACGGACATGCAAGCCCGAAGAGACCGAGCCGCTTAGAAAGGCCCAAAGCAAAACACACCGTAATGGTCAAAATCATAAGTATCGTAGTGCTGAATGTATTTATATATATATATATATATATATATACATATATACATATATATATATACACATATATATATATGCCATAACATGGAGCCCACAAACCCTGAAAAGAACCCGAGCACGAAGAAAAAGGACCAAGCCGCTGCTCGTGAAGCACGGCCAGGCACTCCCTGGTTACGGTCTACTGTACGAAACTGTGTGCAGGGATTGTCCATGGGACTAGTAGAAACGCCTGCCACTTGCGGGGAGTTCCATGCTTTCCGTTGACCAGAAACTGGGAGTTTGGGCGCTTGGGCAGCCGACTCGTCTCTTTTTGGAACCCAAGCTCCCATCCTGCATCAGCGGGGAATCGGCAAGCAACGCTACATATGTATGTGCTGAAGACCCTCGGCCCTTTTATGGGTTTGAGGTTTAGATGAGTGATTTGGAAGATTCAAAACCTTCGAGCCTCCACTGCCTGGCCGCTGAGCATGCACTGCCGGCCATGAGCTTCGCATCAGCGTCCTCGGATGGTCTTTCGGGTGCTGATATGGTTCCACGCCCTTGTCTGATCTAGTGATTTGCTGCGTAGTTCACCCGTGCAGTTGTGTCTGATGCCTGCATAAACGAACCTCCCAGGCCTCAATCTGTTCTAGTCCCTTTTCATGGCTAGGCGGCTGCCGGCCCCATCTCTCCAAGCACCTGCAATGACATCCGCCAGTCGTGTCTCCTGCTGAGGAGTGTGGTCAGGTCTTCAAGAAAGTCCTAACTAAACCCAGATAAACCCTCGTACTGCAAAGCACCACTTGCACATAAGCTTGAATCCGCCGCCCCTACATGCAAACCCGCCCCGCAATAAACTCTAAGCACCTCCAACCTGGGGCTCGACGCTCACAGCTTGGCGTCCGCACTTCAAGATTCGACTCAGGGTCTGACGAGCACCAGATTCCATCACAGTCTGTCTTGCAAAATCGTCTATCGCTACCTGTGTGTCACAACACTCATCAAGCTGAAACTTCCCGTTGTACTCGTGCCCTAGGCCCCGTCCTGCCATGCTGTGCCAATGCGGCTGCGAGTTCCCGCTGCCGTGGTCGCGTGGTTCGCGGCCGGTTTCGACCTCGAGCGAGAAAGTCCTTGGCAGATGAGTAGAGGTTGGACTCTCATCATTACAAAAACAGCGGCTGTGTCAAAGTTGTCCTCATCGTCACCATCATTTCCTCAGCCTCATCGTGATCATCTCCTCATTGGCATTGCTATCACTAGCAGCAGATCATCAGCCTAACCCTCGTCCTGGAGATTCATCGCCCCAATCAACAACGACGGCAAGGACAACGACTATGGAGGAGGGCGATAGCAGCGGCAAGAACATTGAAATTTGCAATATTTTGCAATAGCAGTAACAAGTAAGTACCAAGAGCTACAATGGTTACGCGAGATATGGGACAACAAAAGCTGGCACTACTAATGGACGAGTGAAACCAAAAACCTAACCGTCGTCGTGGCAGTAGCCTCTGCTAGTATTACTATAATGGGGAAAAATTGCAGCCGTAGCGGTAGTAGCAGTAGCAGCGGCAACAGCAGTAGCAGTAGCAAAAGAAGCAGCAGCACCAGCAGCAGGAGCAGGATCAGGAGCAGTAGCAGCCGTAGGAGCATGAATAGGAGTGGGAGTTGGAGTCGGCGTAGGAGTAGGAACAACAGTTGCAGTAGTCGTCGTCGTCGTCGTAGTAGACGTCGTAGTGGTAGTAGTTGTTGTTGCAGGGGTGCTAGTACAAGTAGTAGTGGTGGTAGTCGTCGTCGTCGCAGTCGTCGTCGTACTAGTAGTAGTAGTAGTAGTAGTAGTAGTAGTAGTAGTAGCAGTAGCAGTAGCAGTAGTAGTAGTAGTAGTAGTAAAAGTAGTAGTAGTAGTAGTACTAGTAGTAGTAGTAGTAGTGGTGGTGGCGGTGGTGGTGGTGGGAGTAGCAGCAGTACTGGTACTACTACTACTACTACTGCTGCTGCTACTACTACTACTACTACTACTACTACTACTACTACTACTACTATTACTACCACTACCACTACCACTACCACTACCACTACCACTACCACCACCACCACCACCACCACCACGACTACTACTACTACTACTACTGCTACTACTACTGCTACTACTACTACTGCTACTACTACTACTACTACTACTGCTGCGACTGCTACTAGTACCACTACCACTACCGCCACCACTACAACTACGACTACTACTACTACCACTACTACTACTACTACTACTACTACTACTACTACTACTACTACTACTACTACTACTACTACTGCTACTGCTACTGCTACTACTACTACTACTACTACTACTACTACTACTACTACTACTACTATTACTACTAGCAGCAACCGTTTAACCATCATGAACCCATGACGTGACAGAAACGTCATCATGCTCAATGATGCAGTGCAGGATTGAGGATAGCTCTTTCGAGGGCAAACCCATTGAGAATTTCATGTTTAAGGTTTTAGAGTTGAATACGCCAGGGAGCCGCCACAAACGTGCGGCTTCGCCAGAGACCCGCCTGCGCGACAGTGGACAAAGCACTCTCTCTTGCTTTGCTTTGCTTGGCTCTGGGCGTGAGCCACAGACAGTGCCCGTCCTGTGGCCCGCTCTTCACTCTGTCTCTCTCTCTCTCTCTCTCTCTCTCTCTCGTTCTCGTTCTCTTTCTCTTTCTCTTTCTCTTTCTCTTTCTCTTTCTCTTTCTCTTTCTCTTTCTCTTTCTCTTTCTCTCTCTCTCTCTCTCTCTCTCTCTCTCTCTCTCTCTCTCTCTCTCTCTCTCAAAGACTCAAGTGTCGAGCATCAGGAATGTCCCTCAAACAGAGCAATCTCAACCCTAAACCGCGATGCCCAAACCCAGAAAACCAAAGGCTTGAGCGCAGCCTTAGGCCCCTGGGCTCCGACAAGTAGAATCCTGGAACTTACAGCTGGCCCTGCATGAGGCCAATACAAACGCTACTTTAAAGATTTCGCAAAAGAGCCTTAACAACTCGAACGCGGCGTCACTGCTGCAATGTATGTTCATATACAGCTATTCACGCTGGTTTGCTTCGTATAGAGAAGGCTTTCACACTGAGTTGCTTCACACATAGAGACTTCACACCGAGCTGCTTCACAAAAAGAGACTTCACAACGATTTGTTTATAATAGCTGAAACCAACTTGCGGCGTTCAAGAAATGAATGATCAATGGAAAGGCGGTTGGTATCTTATGGCATGATCAATAATCGTCTTTCGTATTGCTCGATCGTGCTTATTGTCAGGCACCTTCGGTACCGAGACGTCGTTTGATGTGACTATGTTCCAAGCTTTTCCCATATTCGCGGTAGTCCGAGATTGTCTAGGACGGCCTACTCTCCGTTTCTGTTTCTCTTGACACAAAAGACTGAAATTGAAAAGCGGCTTGATGCTACGGATGTTGGCGGTCCCGACGTAGCACATGTCCCAAAAGCTGCAATCTCCGTTCTCCGAGAACTTCGGTGAGGGGCTTGATTTTTCTGTGTATGCCCGCTCTTGGGGCATTCGTGACTTCGTTAGCTCTTTTGTACAGGTACTCGTTTGTGTTGCTGCGATGAATAAACATAGTGTGCAACTGCAGAACTTTTCGCAGTCCTTCCAACTGAAAAGTATTGAGCAATTTTCCCGCTGATGCTGTAGGTTCCAATGTCTCCAACCCAAAAACAAGTTTGCTTGTAATAACTGCGTTGTAGATAAGTGTCATTTAAGGCCCATTATACTAAAATTACAATAAGACACCCCAAAGTAGTTTAGGTAATTATTAAAGCCTCCTATAGTAGACAGCAAAGAAAGAAATCTAGCTGGAGCTTTCGGAGCAGATCCAGAGTGAGCCAAGAGCCCTGAATAAAGTTCACGGCCGAAAGGATGTTGTAGTGGCCTGTGGCCAAAAGCTTCGGGTGTTTGGCTTGATGTTTAGAACTTAGAACTACGGGACGGCATAGTATACTGCATAGTCTACTATACTTCACATGTAGAGACGATCAGGGAATATGATTGCGGATTCTTCCGAAGTCTGCGGTACGCCAGCCTCTTCCGCCGCAGAGCTCTGATCCAAAGCTCGGCCTTTGCACCGGCGGACGGCAAGGCGCATTCCTCCAAGCCGCCCCTCGGAGTTCTGACTGTTTTGGGGTTTAGGGGTTTTAAGATGGTTTTTTTTTAGGGCCCTTCAAAAGCCGAGGCATGCCGTCGAACTTGTGCTGTGCCAGGCGCTAAAGCACGAACATCGACGTGACCGGAAACCCCGCAAACGCGTTTCGACGGCCGCACTGTGACGAGCCGTGTCTGCGTCACTCTGAAATCAGGCTTAGTCTTCTGCACCTCCACGGGGGCATGCCGGTTGGGAGGCCGCAGCTTGCCATGGGCAAGGCTTGGCCAGAGATGTCCCCCCAAACTGGACTGTTCTGCAAGAATCCGCACGAAGCGAAAATCCCTGTAGGGAGTTGCTGGTCTTGGAGTGTTGCTTTAAGGTTTCGGGTTTCAGCACTCACTCTCGGAGGAACCACAGCGAGGATTCCAGGTTTTGGGTTTAGGGTATTGGGTGTCTAGGGGTTGGCAACTTTCGGTTTTGAGGCTTCGGGTTTCAACTCTGGCAAGTCGAACACTCCGGGTTTTTTTGAGCCCCTTTTTACAGCTGCACAACCATCTGAACTGCTGTAAGGCCAGTCGGCCAGGAGGAACACTCCGGGCTTGGGGCTCAGGGTACAAAGTTTCTGGTGTCAAGTAAATGCCTCAAAAATTCTTGATTTTGGAGGCGGTCTTTCGTCTGAATTCCAATCCTCGGGAGTCTGAGAAGGGTAATCTAAGCCCTTCACCTACCTTTGGTTACTAGGGCCTAGTTACTAGGGAATGGTACCCCATTCCTCCATTCCCTACTAACCAATGGTAAGTTTACCCTGACCCTGAAAAGAAACACCCTTGTCCTTTTAGAAATAATAGACAGAGCCCTATACCTATATCCCTGAATAGTCATTATTGAAGAAGGTCCACAAGCCGGTCTGTTTATTCTTTTGGGGGAACCATGAAAAGGACAAGGCTGAAAAGAAACCCAACTCTAGCCGTTCGCCCCTTAACCCGCGGTGTGGGATTCAGGGCAGGAGACGGCCAAGCCGTCGGTCAGAACTCGAGAGTTCTTGCGGGCTTTCGGCTTTGGAGCATGCCGGATGCTTCCTAGAAACAGGTGTGTGTATACACATATATATGTATGTGTATCTATATCTGTACGTCAATATGTGTGTGAGTGTGTACATCTATATACGCAATACCCTTCCTTACATTGCGTTGGTTCCCCTGGCCTCGGGACCTCTTCCCATCCATCTGCAGCTTTATCCACCTAGCTATCCACCTGCCTAGCTTTCTGCATACCTACTTACTCAGTCATCTACTAGCCTCTCTGTCTTGCTTGCTAGCGAGTCTGTCTCTCTGTCTGTGACTCGCTGGCTCTTTCTCTCTCTCTCTCTCTCTCTCTCTCTCTCTATCAATCTCTCTCTCTCTCTCTCTCTCTCTCTCTCTCTGCGCCTGACGCGCACAACAACCACATGTACCCATGAAGTCTCTGAAAGCGGACACAGGCTGCAACACTGCTAGAGTCGTCTTCTGCCTTCCGCATCTGCAGCGCGCCTTTTTTCTCGCGCTGCCTGCGGCCAGAAACCCTCCACCGGCTCCTGAGAGCTGTTTCTGGCAAGACATGCAGGGTGGTGGCTCCGATCGTACTCCTGATGGAGTTGATCGTACGGGTTGGGGCTATGCTTACGACTGCTACTTGCACAGCTGGCATGGGTGTCGATAAGCATGAGACATAGGACGTTCATTCATGCACCCGGAACCTTGCATGAACACCTCGGTTTGGGGTCTGGGTGGGCCAGCAGCTCGATACAGCTTCACAACAATCGAAGCGTCGGTCCCAAATCCTTGGAAAGCCGGATCGCATGGAGGTCAGCGAAAGCAGCCCGGATGTCAAGGTGCCAAAGTTGGTCAGCCTGGCGAGACTTGTTTTCCCTCTCGCATGGCTGGAGTCGATGTCCACAATCGGAGGTGTAACAATGGGTGAACAGGACAATGCAGACAACTGTTCTCTCAGGACCAGGGTTGAGGCTTCTGCTTAGACCCGAATCGAACCCGGAAAGTGCAGGCAGTTTCGAGGATCGGGTGGACGACGTAACTGGAGAGTCTCCAACTCCAAAGAGTTCACGCCCTGGAAGGCAAGCTGAGGTTCTTAACGGTCAGGCACTGAGGGAGCTGTGACATCACGAGGTGAGGTTACGAGGCCTCAGCCACTGCAGCGCGACATTGCAATGTATGTTTTTACATCGATGCAGAAAAAGATACATTACAACATGAAAGACATAAAGCTGCAGATTCTCGGCGTGCGAGCTGTGACCTGATGCCCTGTCACGCGTTGACTTGCCTGCCGAAACCTTTCGGACCGCTCGCGCGCACTCTGGGGTGGGCCTTCGCCCACAGAGCCTGCAGCTTCAGACGATGCCTTGGCTCTCCAAGAGCTGACATAAACTTAGGTTTCGTGTATGAAGGTTTAGGGCTCAAGGTTCAGAGATGCTTTGAGGCAGAATAAAGAACCGGACTAAAGGATAAGTTATGATATCCCGAAGACTCAGGAAACTACCCTGAACTATGAAGGATCTCCACCTGATTTAGGTGGAGATCCTTCATTTTAAGGAGTGTTGGTCTCTTTGAACCTGACCTGCAGGCCTCGGGTCTTTCGGGTCACGGCATGTGCGAACTAGGCCGCTGGGATTCTCTTCAAGGAAGCTCACACTAATCGTGACTTGCCTGCTCTAGCTCTCCCTTCCTACGCAGTCCCCCACCATTGGGACACCTGAAACCTACGTGGGGCACCTGCGGGTGAGAACAAGCTTCCAGCACCCGATGCTCTCCAGCCGCAAACCTCGGAGACTACAGTGTCTGCACCGAGCTGCTTTGAGGTTGCTGGGCCCACCTTGGCATCTAGAGATCGAAACTCTCTCCCTCTCTCTCATGGGTGGGCAAGCGGCTCGGGCATCGCAGGGCCCTGCCACTTTCTGGGCCTCGACTTTCAGACGCTGCTTGATCACAAACAAGGAAGGCATCCCAGAGCAGGCCACCTTCTTTCACGCGGAGGTTCCAATCCGCCAAGCAGTCAGCTTGCGGGCATGGAATCTCTCTGAGGCAAGCTTTGACGAAGCTTTCAGCGCAGCCATCCTTCCCTAAAGAAAGTAAAACGGAGCTCTCCAGCAGCACTCGGTCAAGTCTTGGCATGGAACATGAAGCCGACAAACCTACCGGTAACAGCAGTGCAGCAGTGGTGGCCTTTTCCTTCTCCACGGTCGCCCTGTGGGTACAGCGGCTTAGCAAGTCCCGCCGTCCGGCTTGGCCAGACGGGCGTCAGTCGGCGGCTAGAGGGTTCCACGGGATGTCGAGGTGCTAGATCCGGCCCACAGGCACGGTAGCTCCTGTTGAGAGCTCCTGTAGAGAACCCATAGAACACTCTTTGCGCACGTTTAAAAGCTCTCGGAGCAAGTCCCCGAAAACTCCAGGTATCTCAGAATCTAAGACGCCGCCTAGACCACAAAGGCCGGAAAAGGGGACGGCGTTGTCAGCAGAGGCTGCGCAGTGATCCACTCAGGCTAATGTTATCAATTTTTTTCTCCATCATCATCATACAGATGGATCCTATCCCATTAGTTTTTTGATGTTGCTTTGGATGATAGTGCGGCAGTAGTGACCGTTTTCTTCTCCACGGTCGCCCTGTGGGTACAGCGGCTTAGCAAGTCCCGCCGTCCGGCTTGGCCAGACGGGCGTCAGTCGGCGGCTAGAGGGTTCCACGGGATGTCGAGGTGCTAGATCCGGCCCACAGGCACGGTAGCTCCTGTTGAGAGTTCCTGTAGAGAACCCATAGAACACTCCTTGCGCACGTTTAAAAGCTCTCGGAGCAAGTCCCCGAAAACTCCAGGTATCTCAGAATCTAAGACGCCGCCTAGACCACAAAGGCCGGAAAAGGGGACGGCGTTGTCAGCAGAGGCTGCGCATTGATCCACTCAGGCTAATGTTATCAATTTTTTCTCCATCATCATCATACAGATGGATCCTATCCCATTAGTTTTTTGATGTTGCTTTGGATGATAGTGCAGCAGTAGTGACCGTTTTCTTCTCCACGGTCGCCCTGTGGGCACAGCGGCTTAGCAAGTCCCGCCGTCCGGCTTGGCCAGACGGCCGTCAGTCGGCAGCTAGAGGGTTCCACGGGATGTCGAGGTGCTAGATCCGGCCCACAGGCACGGCAGCTCCTGTTGAGAGCTCCTGTAGAGAACCCATAGAACACTCTTTGCGCACGATTTAAAAAGCTCTCGGAGCAAGTCCCCGAAAACTCCAGGTATCTCAGAATCTAAGACGCCGCCTCGACCACAAAGGCCGGAAAAGGGGACGGCGTTGTCAGCATAGGCTGCACATTGACCCAGTCAGGTTGATCCTTCGCCAAGCTGATACTCCAGTCTCGGACCAAGCGGGCGATCGCCACAGAAAGCTCGAGCTCGGCTACACGACCTCCCAAACACATTCGGGCACCAAAAGAGAAGGGTGTAGCCAGCAGCTTATCATCGATCACCTCCGCTTCGGTTCCTTTGCGAGCCTCAACGGCATCCGCCAGCCAGCGCTCCGGCTTGAATTCCGAAGGATCCTCGACATACTTGGGGTCGTTCTGCACGGAGAAGACGTTGAAGAGTACCCTGGTGCCTTCCGGCACTTTGTAGCCATCGAGTTCCAGATCGCAGGGAGCCGGGCGCACGGTCATAGTAGCAGAGGCTGGAGTGAGTCGGTGCGATTCCCGGATCACTGCTTTGAGATAGGGAAGCTTCGTCTTCATGTTTGCTGCGATTTCCTCGGTGAGGTCTCCCGAACCAAGCACTTCACGAAGCTCCTTCCTTAGGATCTCCTGCTTGTCCGGGTTCTTGGCAAGGTTCACGAGGTTCCAGCTGATCACGGACTGCGTGGTGTCAATGCCCGCTAGCAGGAGGCTCGCAGCTATGTCTTTGATGTCGTCCAGCGGGATGCTGCCGCGATCAGTGATTCGCACGATGTACGGTTTTGTGTCAGCCGGCATGTCCTTCGACTTTTCCAGCGCCTCATCAAGCAGCTGGCACGAGTAGTCGAAACTACGTTGGAAAGCCGTGTTGAAGTCCCGATTTACAGGATGATTGCGGAAGATTCCCATCTGAAGGTGGCGGTTGTAGAGCGAAGTTCCCATCAGTTTGAACGTTTCCTGGGTGTTCCGCACAAAGTCCATGTCCTCGGTGCTCGCATCAGGAGACGTCGTTTTCATCTGCCGGCCGTAGAACAACGCACTGAACATGTCGAACGCCAGGCGCGTAGTGAACTCATTCGGCTCTTTGGCGAAAGTTGGCAGGTGGGTGGATGCCAAGTTGACGGACTCATTGATGTAGGGAAGGTAAGAGCGCGCTGTCTTCGGGCCGATAATGTCTTCCTGCACCGCGAGGCGGTACCTTCGCCAAGGCTCACCATTGCCAAACCACTCCGACATGGCTTTCTTGTCGTTCGTTTTGCTCCAGCGCTTGAGAATCCAAGCGCTATCGAGGGCCCCCACCGGGTACATTCCTTCGTTTCGATACATCTGCATGTACAAATCAGGTCTGCAAACCGTCACATTCTCCTCGCCGACCAGTCGCAGCCTGTAGATGTCTCCAAACTCATGGTAGTAGTCGTCGTAGGCCTTGTTCATCTGTGGGCCTTTCGGCTGGCTCATGCCATTCAATCTTAACATGAAGTCGGGTAGAGCCCCCACAATCGGCCAAGCTTTGGGTCCTGGGATGTCCTGCAAGCCCAACGCGGAAAAGGGACGGCCGAGGCCAAACCAGCGCTGGACTCCGGGCTTTTTGAATGCCCGCATCATGGCGACCGGGGCTAAATGAGCCGAAAGGCTAAGACTGGGCTTGAGCCGCAGCCAAGTAAAAATGTGTACGGCTTATGTGCTTGGATTCAGGGAAGCTGCTACTGAAGTCGACCGAGTGGCCGAAAGTCTGCGTCACGTCCTTGCGCAGATGCTGGTTCAGCAGTCCCACCATGTAGTCCAAGCGAAGGTTCACGTCCTGAAGGGGGCAAGTGGATCTATCTTGAAGCGCAGTCAACCTGGAATCTCGTGTCAAAACCTGCTCCAAACTATGGGGACTCGCGCCACAAGCCGGTTTCACCTCTCAGCCTTCGTCACAGGTGCATCTCGAGACAGAGAAACTACTCCGAGCGCTGCCTGCGCAAATGCCTATGTCTACCTGGAAGTCACAAAACCCATCGAGCTGACACTTTCCGTTGCCTCGTGCCCCAGCCCTCTCCTGCCGTGCTGTGTCAATGCCGCTGCGAGTTCTCGGTGCTGCGGCCGCGCGGTTCGCGGCGGTTTCGACCCCCAGCCGGAAAGCCCTTGGGAGATGATTACATTGCATAAGGGGCTGCAGTGTCAAAGTTGTCCTCATCGTCACCACCATTTCCTCAGCCTCAACTTGATCATCTCATCATTCGCGTTGCTATCACTAATGGCACATCACCAGCCTAACCCTCGTCCTCGAGATTCATCGACAGTATCATTACCGTCATGCCACCGCCACAATGGTCGCGATAACAACGACGAGAAGGACAACGACTTTGGAGGACGGCGATAACAGTGGCAAGAACAACTAAGTACCAAGAGCTAGAATGGTTGCACGACATAAGGGATGAAAAATTGGCACTACTCGCAGTGCTTAGAATGGAAGAGTGAACAACAAAAAAATCATCGTCATCGTAGTAGTAGCAGCTAGTACTACTAATAGTGGAGAACAATGGCAGCCCTAGCGCTAGTAACAGTGGCAGCAGCGACAGCAGCAGCAGTAGCAAAAGAAGTAGCAGCCACAGCAGCAAAGTGGGAGGAGGAGTCGAGTCGGGGTGGGAGTAGTAGTAGTAGTCGTCGTCGTCGTAGTAGTCGTAGTGCTCGTAGGAGTCGTAGTAGAGTAGTAGTAGTAGTAGTAGTAGTAGTAGTAGTAGTAGTAGTAGTAGTAGTAGTAGTAGTAGTAGTAGTAGTAGTAGTAGTAGTAGTAGTAGTAGTAGTAGTGGTAGTAGCAGTGGTTGTAGTAGCAGTAGTAGTAGTAGTAGTAGTAGTAGCAGCAGCAGCAGCAGCAGGAGCAGCAGGAGCAGCAGCAGTAACAGTCCTCTTTGTGGTGGTTCTGCTGGTAACATCACCTCGTAGCAGGCAGCAAGAACAAAAGTCCGTGCAGAAGAGACCTTCACGACCATCACCTTCCACCACCACCACCACCACTATCTACACCACATCCTGACTAACAGCACAGCCACAGTCATCGCAACAAACATGATCACCAATCATGACCGTAAACAAGACATCCGTCATCATCGTCAGCGACATCACCATCTTCTCTATCTTTATCATGTTCTTCTTCATCATCATCATCATCACCCCCATCATCCTGCTCAACATCATCACCTCACCATGAGCAGCAATCACAACAACGCCGTCGTTGCGTCTTCATCACCACTCCTATGCCACTCTCATGCATCGGCATCACAGTCCAAACCACCATAAACCCCATAACGTGAAAAGACGTCATCATGCTCATTGCCGCAGCGCGGAATTGAAGATTGCTCTTTCGAGGCCAAAACCATTGAGCATTGCATTTTTCAGGTCATAGGGTTGAGTACGCCAGGGAGCCGCCACAAAAGTGCGGCTTCGCGAGAGACCTGCCTCCACGACACGGGACAGGAAACTCGTCCGTGAAAAAACGATGCTGGAAGCACTCTCTCTGGCTTTCCCTCTCTCTCAGAGACTCAAGTGTCGAGCATCAGGAATGTCCCTCAAACAGCACTAACAGGCGCACATAGAACGGGATGGCATAATCTACTATATTCTACATGTAGAGACTAGCAGGGAATATGATTGCGGATTCTTCCGAAGTCTGCGGTACTCCAGCCTCTTCGGCCGTAGAGCTCTGATCCAAAGCTCGGCGCTTGCACCGGCGGACGGCAAGGCGCATTCCTCCAAGCCGCCGCTCGGGGTCTTGACTTGAGGGTTTGGCTTCGGGATTTAGGGGTTTTAGATGGTTTTAGGATTTAAGACGGTTTAAGTTTAGGGCCCTGCAAAAGCCTAGGCATGCCTTCGGGGCTGACATGAGGCGTGGAACTTCTGCTGTGCCAGGCACTAAAGCACGAACATCGACATGACCGGAAACCCCGCAAACGCGTTTCGACGGCCGCATTGTGACGAGTCGTGACTCCGTCACTCTGAAATCAGGCTTAGTGCTCCGCACCTCCACGGGGGCATGCCGGTTGGGAGGCCGCAGCTTGCCATGGGCAAGGCTTGGCCAGAGATGTTCCCCCAAACTGGACTGTTCTGCAAGAATCAGCACGAAGCGAAATCCATCCATATACCTACAGTACCTATCTTTCTGCATACCTACTCACTCAGTTATCTACCAGTCCTCTCTCTCTCTCAACGTCTCTTTCTTTCTTTCTGCCGGGCATAAGGGTCGCGGAGCGACCCACAGGCCTAAGCCCGCCCGACCACCCCCTGCTTTATGGAGTGATCGGCTTTTGGGGTACTCCTGAGTTCGGCACTGTACTACTGGGTTTGGCCCAAACTTTCGAGTTGGCGATCCCCCCCGAACACTAAACCCAACACAACGTCTCTCTCGCTCTCTCTTTTCTTTCGCCAGGACTATGGTGCAGGGGCTTTACCCCCTACTCTCTCTCTCTCTCTCTTTCTCTCTCGCTCTCTCGCTCTCTCTCTCTTAGCGTGCCTGACGCGCACAACAGCCATATGTACCTATCAAGTCTCTGAAAGCGGACACATGCTGCACCACTGCTATGGCTGGAGTCGACAATCTGCATTCCGCATGTGCAGCGACCCTTTTTTCTCGCGCTGCTTGCGACCCTCAAACCCTCCGCCGGCTCCTGAGAACTGCTTCTGGCAAGACACGCGGAGTGGTCTCCCGTCGTACTCCTGATGGAGTTCATCGCAAGGGTGGGGGCTCTGCTTGCAACTGCAACTTGCACAGCTGGCATGAGTGTCGATGAGCTAAGACTTAAGATTCATTTAAGCAACCGGAAACTGCCAGGACACAACCGCAAGAAACAAAGCCTGGCAACGGCTCTTTTTTCACAGGATGCATGTCGCCTGGTCGTAGGTCGTGACATGGTGGAAACTGTGCTTCAGCGGATCTGGGACTGTCTTGACGGAATAAGGTGGAGCTTGCAGGGTCAAGAGCTTTTGCTGACGTACCACTCACCGCTAGGTGCACAATCCACAGGGTCAGACTCCTCACACCTGCATAGTGCAAATCTCACCTCCAGGGCTGGGAGCATGCCAGATTCGTGCCACGAACATGCGTATGCCAATGGCCCTTCTTTGTCCGCGATTTCATCTCGGTTGTGACTAAATACTGTCGTCAAAACATCAGGATGGACTTCTCACTCAACTGAAAAGAACCACACTTGTTGCGGTGGCGGCAGTACTAGTGTACCGAGTGAAGCTGCACAGACTTGAATAGCTCATTCCCATCGCACTGCCCTCTTTTGTGTAGGAGCGCGGGCAGATGCATCCGGGTCTCCACAGGCCTGTGTTAAGTTCCACGACATCTGAGAGGACATCGCTGGCGATCTGCCGCGCTTTCGCCGACTTATTCTCCAGGTTCCTGCGGGAGGGCGTGGTTTCGACTGCCACACGCAGCACTCGACGACTTTCAATCACCAAACTGCTTCAGCAAAGAGGCCTCAACAGCAGTCTTCCAGTTTTCAACCTAGGCTACGCAAGTTTCACTTCGACAGGACAAGCGAACTGTCTGCACATGTTTCCTTGCGCAATGTCTGATGCGGCAACTGTTCTTCCGAAGCTCACTGCCGCTTGCTCTCATGCGCGCTTTCATTTTAGCGAGCCTCCGACTTCATGGTGATGCAGGTGCGAGGTGCGTGTGGCTCGCTCGAACCATGCCAAGTGACGAAACGAAGTCTTCGACCACTTTTTTCACCTCAGCATCCAAAAAACGCCAATGGCCCGCTGAGCTCCAACAAACGTTCCCCACCTTCCCGCATCCACGCACAAACAGAGTTTGGGAAACTGAGATCACTGTCACTTTGCTTCAAAAGATGCCCAGCTCGGAAAGTCGCTATTCAGTGGCAGCCTACGGCAGCAACATGGAGTTCTGTGGCCTACTTTCGTCTAGACGCACCCGCGTCTAGCACTCCTTACCCCAAGACTTCAAGCTGCCGAATTCAAGAGTGTCACCTCCAGCTTACTGCCGAACCGAACCCTGAACCCAAATCTCTGTTTGAAGCTACTCCATATTTACTATGTAGTCCTGAACTTAAAGTTAGCCCAGGACAGGAGTCGCACAATATCCCGAGCACCCACAAATGGAATGAAAGCTGAACAAAACACACCCTTGTAAACTCTAGTACCCGAGATAGGGCACTCACTGCCCGAATATAGTGGGATCTCACTACCAGGATCACTGAATAAGGTACAGGAGTCGTCTGAAAGCCAAAGATCCCTGAACATTCCCGAAAATGGCTTGCGGTGGTCTTGATTCGCTTGATGGAGCCCTTCTCAGCGAGTATGCGCATCGAACTTGAAGAAGGAAAACTTCTAGTAGCCTTTAACCGACCCGATCTCTTGTAGATCCCTTAAAGGAGCCCTTGAAGGTACCCTTCCATTGGTCCAAGCCCAAGCCACCAGCTCTTTCCGGCCTGCTTCGGATGCGGCCGCTGCCCAAGCAGGCCCTGAGAGGAGCCTCGGGCTCTGTCTTCCTTTCTTTTGAGCTTTCGAGCTTTGGGGCCTATAGGGTATAGGATGGTATAGGGCTTATAAGGGCTGAGTGCCGAGGGCTTCGGGGGGTTGAAGTTTCGGGTTTGGGTTGAAACAACTACTTGAGGTCAGATGCCTAAGTTGAGGCTGACATGCACAAGCTGATGCTTTGGTGTTTCTCTCGGGCGGGGTCGATCGAGGTGGGCTCTAGGTATGCCTTTTCTGACGTTCACGCTGGGGAACACAGGGCGAGGTCTATAGCAAACTAGGAATCCAACGACGAGTGTCAAAGTCGGTTTTCTTCGACACCCGCCGTCCAGACAGGCTAGGTATGTTTTTTGATGTTCCTGTTCGTGCTGACGCTGCAGGATCCATAATCCGACTTCACGCAGGATCAAACCGAGACTTCCTTGTGTGATCATGTGGGAACTGTGAAGCGAAAGACTCGGAACTATCACGAAAGTCACCTTACACCCTTAGATGGCGCAGCTGCATCAGCCCAGTCACGCTGTGTTGTGTGCCAAGACCACCTAGCGGTTGCAGTGTCTAGGCGTAGACTTGGGGCTTTGAGGGCTTGATGTAGGGCTGAGGGTTTATAGTTCAGGGTTTTTTTGGGGGGGAGTCCGACGCCTTGTCCATGTGGAGTAAGTTTAGCACCATGGCGTCGAATCCCAAGCCCTGCCGGCATTGGACAGTGACCTTGGTCGGAGCTGCTGGTGCGGGGGGGGGGGGGGGGTTGAAGTCTCGGCATTCCGGTTCAGGGTGAGTCAGGGTTCAGGGCCTGGGAACCGTGGGAGCTGCAGGTAAGCTACTTGGAGCTCGAAGTGAAACGGCTCATCGCAGCACACATTGCCGCTGTACCACTCCTTGCCGTCCACGAAAACGTTCATGAACACCTCGGTGTGGGGTCTGGGTGGCCAGCAGCTCGATACAGCTCCACAACAATCCAAAAGTCAGTCCCAAATCCTTGGAAAGCCGGATCGCATGGAGGTCAGCGAAAGCTGCCCGGATGTCAAGGTGCCAAAGTTGGTCAGCCTCGCGATTTGGGGCCCCTTCGACTTGAGGCCTCTGCTTCGACCCGAAGGGAAACCGGCAAGTTCAGGCAGTTTCGAGGCTTTGGCGCCCTGATCCCCATAAATTCTCCCGGAACGGCCCCACCTGCCAGAGATCCGGGGGACGACGTAACTGGAGGGTCTCCAACTCCAAGGAGTTCACGCCCTGGAAGGCAAGCTGAGGTTCTTAGCGATCGGGCACTGAGGAAGCTGTGACATCAGAAGCGGAGGTTATGAGGCCTCAGCCACTGCAGCGCAGCACATAAAGACATAAAGCCGCAGATTCTTGGCGTGTGAGCTGTGAGTTGATTCCCTGGAAACCCTTCCGACCGCAGGCCTTCGCCCACAGAGCCTCGAGCTTCATACGATGCCTAGGCCGCTGGGATTCTCTTCAAGGAAGCTCACACCAATTGTGACTTGCCTGCTCTAGCTCTCCCTTCCTACGCAGTCCCCCACCTTGGGACACCTGAAACCTACGTGGGGCACCTGCGGGTGAGAACAAGCTTCCAGCACCCGATGCCCTCCAGCCACAAACACCTGAAACTTCAGCGTCTGCACCAAGCCGCTTTGAGGTTGCTGGGCCCACCTTAGCATCGAGATCTTTCTTTCGCCAGGGTTATGGTGCATCGAGATCTCTCTCTCTCTCTGTTTCTACTCGGCTTGGGGTCGGGGGCATTGTCCGGGCCACCTTCCCCGTGCGCACACCCACACTCGCGCTCCTTGGCAGCACTTTCCCCCCTCCTTTGGGTGATTTAGGGGATTCCCAAGTGGTGCTGTTTGTCCCCCCCATCAAACCGACACAAACATAAGCGCAATAAAACACTTTCAGAGCCAGTACTCTTCTTCCGCCGGGCATGAGGGGCTGTTAAGACCCCTCGGCCACTAGGGCCCCCTCATATTTTGTGGGGACTTGTGGAGGAGTGTGAAAGCCAGTACTCTCTCTCTCTCTCTCTCTCTCTCTCTCTGAATCCCCTTGTGACTCCGCCACCCAAGGCATGGATCGGCTTCTCAGGTCGTCAGGGCATCCTGGCTTTCTGGCTTTGGGGCACTCGTCTCCATTGGGTGCTCCCCAAAAACGGTGCTCACGGCGTGCCTTCGGGGACTCGTCGTGGGCTCTGGCCCTCCGTTTCTGAAAGGCCCCTCGTTGCCGATGTTTGCGCTGATGTCTCATCAAACTCCACACCCGATTGAAGAATCGGACAACCAGGAAGAGGAGCTGAAGAAGTACAATGGCAGAAGTAATCGTCGAGAGTTTCAGGCTGCCACCTCCGTCTCGCGCTGCAGCAGTGGTGTGGTTCCAGAGCCTTGCTCGTGCAACTCTTTCAACTCAGACACTGCAAGTGCTTTGGGATGTCAGAGTCGGAAGCGAACACACACCTGTCTAATAATGAACCTAGGGGCAGTCTGCATATTTCGCCCACTGTGAGCTGGAAGAGACCTCACCTGGCAGGCTGGTGCGGAATCGGCCGGCAAGCGGCTGAGGGATCGCGGGGTGGCGCCCACGCTTTCCCTTGAAGCCTCTGCCATATTCTTGGGCTGGACTTTCAGATGCTGCTTAATCACAAACAAGGAAGGCATCGCAGAGCAGGCCACCTTCTTTCACGCGGAGGTCCCAAAGCGCCGAGCAGTCACCTTGAGGGCATGGAATCTCTCTGAGGCAGACGTTGAAGAAGCTTTCAGCGCAGCCATCATTCCCTAAAGCAGGTAAGGTGGAACTCTCCATCAGCACTCGGTAAAGTCTCCGCGTGGAACACGAAGCTGACTAACCTACCGGTGACAATGGTTTCTCAATGGTTTTAAATGAACTGCGTTAAGAAAACATATCACTGCGACTTTTCTAAGTTATTAATACTATTGGTATTGGTACTTTTTGATTCAACATCATCATTAACAGATGGATCATATTCCAATATTCTGTCATTGCTCTTGCTTTTGATGATTGTGCAGAGTGGCGCCTTTTCTTTCTCCACGGTCGCCCTGTGGGCACGGCGGGCCTAGCAAGTCTTGCCGTCCGGCTTTGCCAGACGACCGTCAGTCGGCGGCTAGGGGGTTCCACGGGATGTCGAGGTGCCAGATCCGACCCACAGGCACGGTAGCTCTTGTTGGGAATTTCTGTAGAGAACCCATAGAACCCTTCTTGCGCACGGTAAAACGCTCTCGGAGCAAGTCCCCGAAAACCGTAGATATCTCAGAATCTAAGACGCCGCCTCGACCACGAAGGACGGAAAAGGGGACGGCGTTGTCAACAAAGGCTGCACATTGATCCAGTCAGGTTGATCCTTTGGCAAGCTGATACGCCATTCTCGGACCAAGCGAGCGATCGCCACAGAAAGCTCGAGGTCGGCTACACGACCTCCCAAACACATTCGGGCACCAAAGGAGAAGGGTGTAGCCAACAGCTTATCATCGATCACTTCCGCTTCGGTTCCTCGGCGAGCCTCAACGGCATCCGCCAGCCAGCGCTCCGGCTTGAATTCCGAAGGATCCTCGACATACCTGGGGTCGTTCTGCACGGAGAAGACGTTGAAGGACACCCTGGTGCCTTCCGGCACTTTGTAGCCATCGAGTTCCAGATCGCAGGGAGCCGGGCGCACGACCATCTGAGCAGAGGCTGGGGTGATTCGGTGCGATTCCCGGATGACAGCCCTGAGATAGGGCAGCTTCGTCTTCATGTTTGCTGCGATTTCCTCGGTGAGGTCTCCCGAACCAAGCACTTCACGAAGCTCCTTCCTTAGGATCTCCTGCTTGTCCGGGTTCTTGGCAAGGTTCACGAGGTTCCAGCTGATCACGGACTGCGTGGTGTCAATGCCCGCCAGCAGGAGGCTCGCAGCTATGTCTTTGATTTCGTCCAGCGGGATGCTGCCGCGATCAGTGATTCGCACGATGTACGGCTTTGTGTCAGCCGGCATGTCCTTCGACCTTTCCAGCGCCTCATCAAGCAGCCGGCAGGAGTAGTCGAAGCTACGCTGAAAAGCCGTGTTAAAGTCCCGATTTACAGGATGATGGCGGAAGATTCCCATCTGAAGGTGGCGGTTGAAGAGAGAAGTTCCCATCAGTTTGAACATGTCGCGGGTGTTCCGCACAAAGTCCATGTCCTCGGGGCTCGCATCAGGAGACGTCGTTTTCATCTGCCGGCCGTAGAACAACGCACTGAACATGTCGAACGCCAGGCACGTAGTGAACTCATTCGGCTCTTTGGCGAAATTTGGCAGGTGGGTGGATGCCAAGTTGACGGACTCATTGATGTAGGGCAGGTAAGACCGTGCTGTCTTCGGGCCGATAATGTCTTCCTGCACTGCGAGACGGTACCTTCGCCAAGGCTCCCCCGAGCTAGACCACTCATACATGGCCTTTTTGCCGTTCTCCTTCATCCAGCGCTTGGCAATCCAAACGCCATCGAGGGCCCCCACCGGGTACATTCCTTCGTTTCGATACATCTGCATGTACAAATCAGGTCTGCAAACCATCACATTCTCCTCGCCGACCAGTCGCAGCCTGTAGATGTCTCCAAACTCATGGTAGTACTCGTCGTAGGCCTTGTTCATCTGTGGGCCTTTCGGCTGGCTCATGCCATTCACTCTTGACATGAAGTCGGGCAGAGCCCCCACGATCGGCCAAGCTTTGGGTCCTGGGATGTCCTGCAAGCCCAACGCGGAAAAGGGACGGCCGAGGCCAAACCCGCGCTGGACTCCGGGCTGCTTGAATGCCCGCATCATGGCGACCAGAGGCTCAATGATCCGAAAGACTGGAGCCAGAAGAGGGCTTGAGCCGCAGCCGGGTAAAAATTTGTACGACTCATGTGCTGGGATTCTGGGAAGCTGCTACTGAAGTCGACCGAGTAGCCGAACGTCTCTGTCACATCCTTGCGCAGATGCTGGTTCAGCAGTTCCACCATGTGGTCCAAGCGAAGGTTCAAGTCCTCGCAGGCCCAAGTGGATCTATATATATCTTCAAGCGCAGTCACCCTGGAATCTCGTGCCAAAGCCTGCTCCAAACTACGGGGACTCGCGCCACAAGCTGGTTTCACCGTTCAGCCTTCGAGAAAACTAATCGGAGCGCTCCCTTCGCAGATGCACCCGTGCCGACTTAAGAACATGAGCGTGGATCTGAAACGGTGCAATGCTTCTCACATCTGGTCGGTTGATATGCCTTAGACAAGTGACTAGTCTATTGCCTTCGAATCGGCCTTTCAACATAGCATTGCAACTGGGGGCCCAAAGCTTCACAACAGGTTGGAAATTGCTTGAGCTCTTCTTACGAAGAAAACTTGAATTCTCGTCTTGCAAACTACATCTCGGCCTTTGACCCCCAGGCACAGCTAGGCTTTATGCACACAAAACCAATCCATATACAAAATGAGCCACCGAGTATGATGATCAGGGCAGAGACTATTACTGTCATGGTCATGAACATGCAGCCTACGCCGCTGACCTCACTAACATAAGATCTGCCGGGCTCCTCCAAATCCTTCGGCTTCGCGTGGTGCAGGGGCCCGTGCGTGGACAGAAACGTCCCCAGGGCTAAGATGGTCATGGCCGGCCTCTTTGGGCACTACTTGGAGGGTCCGGGGCTTAGTAAGTAAGTAGTAAGTAGACATATAAGCACCCTAGAAGGGACCCTAATTGGGGTTATGGCACTTATAAGTCCCTAAAATAACCAGTTACTAAGTCCCCCAACCCTCCAAATAATCTAGGAACCTGATTAAGAAACCCTGGCCCTGTAACCCCAAATATATTAGGATTCAAATAAGGAGCCCTAATAAAGACCCAAGGTTTCTTAATCAGGTTCCTACATTACCTTTTTTTCTGTACAATACATATATACACACCCTATCTTTTTTTGTCACCCACTTCCCTATCTATATGTAGTACATTAAACTATAATCAATATACTGTGCTAGGTTATCTTATGCTAGGTTTTTATTACACTGTACTGAAGCATAGTCTAATTTGTATATTGAAACATCTTTTGCTATCGCACAATGTGTTTTTGTATCATATGACATTACAGTAAGTTACATCAGATTATGTCCGGGTTAGATTGGGTTAAGCCAAATTCTCCCATACTATACGGTACTATATGATGTTCGAGTATGCTATGGTATGTGAGCATGCATGGTCGTAGATTGTACTACATTTTCGCACATTGAAGACATATTATGTATATTAGAGTATATAACCGACCGATAGTATACTATACCATTACCGATAGCATATTATACCATACTACATACGTATACACATGTACATGTATGTCTGCATGTATGTATGTATGTATGTAGATAGGTAGGTACGTACGTACATTGGTGGTTGTATGTATGTATATATGTATGTATGTTATATGTTATGGTTTTTCGTGGTGCAGTGAGGACCCACTGTCCAGGGTCTCGGGTCCAGGGCTACTTTGGGGCTTCAAGGCGCGGCTGGGAAACGCCCGTGCGACGACGTAATTCAAGTTAGGCCGCGTAATGCTTGGAGGATATGGGAGTTTCCGAAGATTAGGGGACCATATTTTAATAAGGATCCTACTATTTAAGGCGGTATCATATTAGGATCCCCTATTTTCGGAAGCTCCCATATAGGGAATGTATGTTTCCACTGTTACACTGTTACTGGGCGGGGGCCGAGCCCCAAGCATATCCGTCTTCAAACACATTTAACCTGAATTCCCTCCAGATGATCGTACGGATGGTTGTTGTCTACGCGCACAGTATGAACCATGTGCAGTAGGCTCTGGTTGCACACAAACCAGACATCCACCAAACACAAATAAACTGACATGGCAAAATCATCCAAACAGTAACAGAAAGAAGCCCAGCAGTGCCACTTGCAGAGGACTTCCAACTCCCACAACTGGTAAGGTTGGGCTTTTCAGCACTCACTCTCGGACTTACGCTCTGAACAACTCGGACACAGACTTAAGGCCTGGGATTTGGCGGCTTTTTTTGATAACTGTAAGAAAAAACCCAAATCCCTGAAGTTTCTGGGCCCCCGACCCCCCCAGCCACAGCGGGGCACCACCCGGCGGCAGCGAAGCATGCGCCGGACTCGACTGCGCTTTTGCAGCATGAAGAAGGGCATAGGTTCCTGCAGGGGCGGGGTACATGGGAAAACCAAGAGAGCAGAAGGAAAGCGTTTTCCATGTGAGCAGTTGCTTGACCTCCTTTGCCCAGAGCCTCGAAAAAAACCCATTTCTTAGCCTCTCCGCACCCGTCGGCCTAAGCCCATCGCAAGGATGCCGCCAGGCCCCAGAGGTAGGGATGGGAAGCTGGCACACACCTCCGGAAGCCATGGAAGCTTTCGCGCTTCACCGGAACGAAATCCGACAACTGCAGCGAGAAACCAAAACGACGCAGACGAAGAAGTAAATGCCACCGGATCAGGAACAGCACAAACTGCCAGGGCATCAGAGACAGCCCTGGCCCTGGCCAGCCTCCATGGTGTTTTGATTCCTGGCCATCCTGAGATTGGACTCTGACCGAGTTCTGGCAGCTTTCTCGCTGCGGTGCAAACCTTACAGTTGAGGCCCGAGAAATGTTCGGAAGCCCGATGAGTCCTCGATAATTTGCTCCTTCACTCTCGATATTGGAAGCCCCAACCTGTCTGTTTTATGTTCCACCGCCCAAGTTTATGCAGCAGCCTTGCACCTCTGCCCAAACAGCACCCATCTTTCATCTGCCCTGTTTGCCAAAGATCGCTGTGGGCCCACCCGACCGATTCAAAATGCACTGGCATCCCCCGTGCTGCAAGGAAGCGGACAAAAGGGTGAGAAGGCATCGGAATGTCAGTGGCTTGTCGACATCGGCAACCCGGGGCTGTCAAAAGCCTGAGTTTCCATTCCCGCCAAGAATCACGATGTAGTAGACCAGGACCTCGTGGGTCACTACGATTCACGCCCGAAGTCCGAGACCCTGGCTCTTGCCACTGGAAAGCCCATACGCACTGTACGGCTCGCGGCATATGTTGCCTCAGGTTTAGGACACACAGACACTATCACAGACTACATTGCCTTACACCTACCCCTGAATTTCTCCGCATGTAGTCTAAGAAAGTTGCTGCAGAACCTTTGGGGCTTGGTCTTTGTACCCTTCTCGGTTTGTGTCCGGCTCTGTGTCGCTAATGTAGCTCAGCTTGCCAAGAGGCCAGGGAGGCAGCCCAGATGTGACACATGACCTCAACTAGCAGACAGTGAGCAAAGCTCCCTATTGTATTGAATATGCCCCATAGCCCTAGAGCTGTTGAACGCTGGGTCGAGGTGGCTGCCACGAGCCTGATCCCAAATGCTCAAAACAGCGATCTGCCGCGTCCTTGTTCTTCGCTCTGTTGCTGGTGTTCTGCGGCGGCCAGTGCTAACCTCTTGAGCCGTATCCATACCCTGCATACTTACATCTGGATGTGGATCACACTTCGGCCTCAAGAAGACACGACATTGCAACCCGCTCCACGTTGGCTCCACATGTAGGAGTTTCCCAAAATAGGGTACCCTATTATAGTACCCTAAAGTAGGATCCTTATTATGCAGACCCCACAATGAGGTACCCTACTTTCGGAAACTCCCACATGTAAGTGGCCTTGTTTAACAGCTGTGCGACAGAAAAACTCTTGCAGGACAGGTGCCCAGGGCCTCAGCCAGTGCTCAGCCCAGCCAAAGGAGGAGTCCGGTTGCAGCCGGCAACAGAGTAACACCTGGGCTGCTGGCTTTCTTCGGGATTAAGATACCTCACGGAGGTGATGACAAATCTAGTACGAATCATGCGGTTTCGGCTTCAAAATCAGGATCCTTTATGCCAGCGACTCCCAGCTTAGCGGTATGCTGGTTTCTAAGGACCTTACCTTCTCAAAGCCTGCCGGCCTTTGGGCCGGGACACTACCCACAGCGACGGCAGCAAGATCCTTAGATGGGCAGTCTTGGAAGTAGCACCTGGATTGCGTTTCCCTTTTTTATCCTCGAATCTTGACACCTCCTTGCTGCCTCTTTTCGTCTTGCAGAAGGTGTTACTCCCCTGATCCCGCCCATTCTCAACCCAACTTGACCCCTCCGTACGGCGTTTCCCACATGAAGACATCTGGAGATCCCGCTCCACGTTCTCATCTGTGCCTGCTCTCTGTTGGCTGCGTGCTCTCCACGCGTGCTCCATTTCCCCATCCTACACCATCTCACCCAAAATGCCTGAGGTACCCAGCAAAACAGTAGGGCCCCCCAATGCGGAACAACTGCCGCCAGCGGCACGCCCAAACCACAACTCCCAGCAGGAATCCCGGATGACCCCAAGCTGCCGACAAGAGTCACTGTACAGGCTGAGAAGCACATCAGAAACCATGACACGGAGCCTATGCTCCACCACAGGTCCAGGACAGTAGGTGTCACGCGGTGGATCGCCACACCTGACCCCAGAGACTTCCATATCCCTCAATGAAGGAATATACCTTAAAGTATAGTAGGGATCCCTGCTATACCTCATTGAGGGTATATTCCTTGAATAAGGGATACGGGATAGGGGAATTGATGGAGAGTCAGGGCGTTCTCGAGCGACTACCAACACCAATCTTTGCTGAAAGGGAACAGCAATACGAGAGTTTTCCCACTCTTCGCTAGGCCCTGGTTGAAACAGTGCTGGTCACTCTGAAAGATTATCTCCCCCTTGCAGCCTGCGATCCGAAATTCGAACTCCAGGTACGGGTAGGTCAGGGCGACCCAAATGCCGGCCACGACCAGCGCGGCTGTTGCCAGCAAGAACGGTACCTAAGCCGCGCTCGGAGTCTTCAAATCCAAGGCCCCGAGTGCTCTGATTTCTCTGCGGCCTGGGCATGTTTCAGCATGCACAGTTCCACGTGCAGATGCTGGCTCCTCTTCCTGCTGGTCGACACCGCTGCTGCTCCTGTTTTGCTGGTTCTGCTCATCCTCTTGCTCCAGCTGCTGTTCCTGCTCTCCGTTGACTACCACTGCTATTATTCAACTACTTCTTCTTCTACCCGTTCTTCAGCCACCGCCGTTCTCAAGGGATTTAGGTTCAGGAGCCCCGGGTCTCGACACTTTGAGAGAGCAACTGCTGACCTTTGACCAGGAGACTGGGGGAGTCGGATGAAGATCCTCTGGTCCGGAGCCCTCGGAAAGCTCTGCATCGTAGTCCCTGTAGCCACCCGAGTGCCTTAAGGTCTTCATCGCTGTGGAGTTGAATTGGGTTGTTCTGGGGTTGCCTGCCAACGCGCGGCAGGATTCAGTGGGCTTCAAGCGTCGAGTTTCTGAGCCTGCTTGCCTTTTTTGCACTGGGGGTCGGTAAGGCTTACCTCGCGCGAACAAGCATGTTTCCTTCTGGAGGTTGATGCAAGGGCCAGAAAAGAAGCGACAACAAGTCCTGTCTTTCGGCTCCAGAAGGTGTCTTTCGAACCGTCCTCTTCTCTACAAAACCCGGAGCGACGATGGAAGTTATCTTGTTCCCAGTCTCACTGAGCATTAAGATGCGCCCATTGTCTGGTGATGTCTGCCCTGAGGCCCGGGCTTCATCAGCGTTGGGTCCCTCCCCTTGACGCTCTTGCAAGCCTTCAGCAGTCCTTCCTGGGAGACATGGGGCCTTGGGCCTTTGGGCGTCTTGGGGCGTAGAGCAAACGGGGTCTTCGGCCTTCGGCCACTAGCAACTTGGGAGTTTCAGAAGAATTAGGCACTCCTCAAGTCTGATGCCAACTACTGGTACCAGGATCCTTGTGGTCAGCGCCTCGGTAGAAAAGTTTACGAAATCCCCAAGGCCCAGCCCCTGAATCCAAGCGTCTGACTTTGGAAGGAGGTCGCTCGGCTGCACGGACCAAGCCAAGAGGAGGTTCGCCACACAGTAAGACAGGAAGAACCAGTAGCCGTTTGTAAAGTAGCCACCATAGCGGATGTTGTCAGGATGCTGGTGCTCAATGGGAAGGCTCGCGATGCCAACGACCAGCATCATTATGGACGGCTGGGTGAAGCGCATGGGCGCCAGCGTCATAACGTATGTCCTTGATGCAGAGGGGTTCTATGCAGGCCCCTTTTTCTGTGGTGCATGTAACCTCGCACGTTAGGGGCGCATAAGTTTGACATGGCAAAACCCGACCATCGGACAGTTCAAGCTTGCTCGGTGGACGCACAGACAGTCGGACAGATGGACAGAAGAGAGAGCACTCGCTCGAGCGAAAGAAGCAAAACAAAAACCCAGGAAGATCCACAAGCGAGCATATGCCGATCCGACACTTGAGATAGACAGATGGACATGGGTAGTTAGGCTCCTGAACAGCCCCTTTTGCCCCGCCCCCGCCCGGATTGAAAAAACAACGGTACCCTTGTTGCTACTATTCTGCCTTAATCAGGAGACCCCAAAATTAGAAGGGCAACAAGTTACTGCTCAGGACCTTAGATAGGCAGACAGACAGAAAGACAGCGAGCACGCAGTCAGAAATGCAGAACAGGCTTCTTAGCAAACTAGTTGGATGGACAATAAGTGCATGGTACGACAGTTGTGTGGATGCCAAAGAAGTCACGAAAAGGCAAGATACAGAGAGAGAGAGAGAGCAAGAAACAGAAAACGGCGTCACATGCAGGTCTTGGTTTGAATCTCGCTTGTGGGAACGCGGATAGTTACACCGATGGAGACTGCGTCGCATCAGGTCATGGAGGGGCGGGCACAAACAACCAAACAGATGAATCACATAAATACAACGATGCATAATGATGCATACTAGATCAGCCAAGCTGACAGGCACGCATGCTTTGTTGGGAAAGCCATGGCAAAAAAAAACACCAAGCTATTCAACTGAAAGATCTAGGAAAGGTTTTAAGCACTTTCCGGATTCCCTCCTGAAAGAACCGACTGTAAAGCCCGCCACAGGGCTGCATCGATTGGCGCAAGTCCCCCGGGATGAAGGCCGGGTTTAGCAGGATCAGGAAGATCCTGAAAGCTGAAACTGTCGTCTTTGCTGGCTTCCCTTGGTTCGGCTTTTTCCGCTGTCGGTGTAGCCTTAGGCTTCAGGGGGGTTGCATTCTTAAGCAAAGAGGCCCCTGATAGTAAGTTGAGCTGATTCATCCAGGTCATCCCGGCAGAAGCAAAGACTGATTCAGCTCGGCTCTGCATAGCTCTGCGGGCTTCATTCTGTTCAAGGGTGCTCGCAGGCCCAGAATCCTGAACTGAAAAGATTGGCCCAGAATCATCAAGAACTGCAGCGGGGGCAGCAACATGGCATTGTACGCAGCCACCTCAGTGCGCTTCCATCCGTGCGGAACGATTGGGCCGAAGGCTCAAAGTCTGAGTACATGGGAGTTTCCGAAAATATCACGGGTACCTTATTTTGGGGTCCTTATAATAAGGATCCTACTATATTAGGGTACTATATTAGAGTCCCCTATGTTTGGAAATTCCCACATTGACGTTCAAGCTCCGAGGTTTGTGTTCCATGATTTCACGACAAAGGACGTCGGCTCAGAATGCGAAGTTCACCCCCCTTCTGGCCGGCGAGTGTGCGGAACAAGCCACTCACTCAGAGCATTCAGAAATGGGTGCTCAGCATTGCTATCTATTACTTTAGGGGTTACTGTCATCATTCCTGACAGAGCGAGAGAGAGAGACAGAGAGAGAGAGAGAGAGAGAGAGAGAGAGAGAGCGAGAGAGAGAGCGAGAGAGAGAGAGAGAGAGAGGGAGGAGGGAGAGAGAGAGAGAGAGAGAGAGAGAGAGAGAGAGAGCTATCGATCGCACAAGCACAAGGCGAGTCGCAAACGCTGAGCATGGAAGTTGACGTTGATACAGCCAGCGGATAACGTCAATGTAGGACTCCCCTCACAGGGTCCAGTGTCAACGGCTGCACATCCTGTTCTCTGAATCCAGTAACCGTGATGTAGGGCCCTATCAGGCCCTAATAGTTGGAACGGGGCTTTGGGAATGATCTAGACTCTAGATTGGTGTTGCTAACTCTTGAGGTACCCATATTGCAACCCATGACCGGCAGAACTCGGAAATACTCGGCCCTTTTCTGCTGCATCTCTCTCTCTCTCTCTCTCTCTGTGCGCTTGCTAGTGCTCTCTACGAGTTGCCCATGTACTTGCTGCTGCTTCTGGCTTTGTTGAGGAGATTAGACAAAATCGCCGTAAAAGAAATCTACAGATAATACTGCTATCGTACCTCAAAACGAGCTACTTAACAACAATGCCTTCTTAAGAATCCATGTTATTTTGCATCACGGAACCAAGCCTTGCGAGACTCGGTAGCCGTCAGCATCGTCATGAACCCACGTGACATTGGGCAAGATGCACTCCTTGGCCGTTTCGACTTTCGTGCGTAGCGGCCGCAAAGCCGGCAAAAAGACATGTACCCCCAAATCCCAATCTATTGAAAATGTTCTTGCAGGGTTGAACCACTTTCGGCTTCGGGCTGGTCATCCTCATAAGAAGGGGGCTCTGTCTGGGATGGAGGCTTCCAATGCCGAGCCAGGGCGCAGTGTAGATAAGTGGCACATGTACACCGATGATCTGACAGAGAATGCAAAGTGGGAGGAGGATCCACTGCCACCAGTAGCTGCCGGCACCTGGCTCGCTCACGATACTTTTGCGAACGCAAGTCTCGCCATAAGTGACGTCAGGAATCTACGTCTCGCAGTCGCAGTTCGGCTTGCGCTCGTCCGAGCCCGACGAAAGCCACGGGGGACACTATAGGGCACACTCCTCGTTCAACCGGGCCAGCTGATCTCTAAAGCAAGATTTCAAAACCTCACTGATCATTCTCTTGAGATCCAGGTGTTGCATCATCAGCTTTCCCTCAAAGCTACTAACTTCACCACCTGGGCCACAAGCTTGGCTGCCCTCGTCGTCCTGCACAGCCGAGGCTCCCCAAGTCAGATGTCATGTTTCTGCTTGATCAGCTTGCAGGGCCTTCTAGCTTCTGAAAGGCTTGCCTTGTCGTCGGAAGTGCCCAGGTCTTTGACCACATTGTAGCCATAGCCGCCCTGATGCCCCTCGGGTGTGTTTGCGGTGGGCTCTGGCTGACGGAAGTCTGGGGGAGTTCTCAGCTAAATAAGTACCTATACTATTTTGGGGGCTCCTTATTATATTTATAATAAGGAACCCCCAAAATAGTCTAGGTAATTATTTAAGTGTGGCCAAGACACTGTTTGATCGTCCTGGCTCTCAAGACTTCTCCACTCCTGCCAGCCAGAGCCAACACAGACCCCCTCACTGTCGGCTTTGGCTGCTCCATCTGTCTGAGTACCGACTCCCTGGAGTCCTTCCAGTTGCAGGTGTAGAGATAAAACTGCAGCGAGGCAAACATCACCAACATGCCAAACCTCAGCAAAGGCACGGGCAGTGGAAAGTTCCAGCTTGTGGCAGTTGGCACGCCAGCGACCGACGAGTTTCATGCGGCAGAGGTTCGTCGTGCAACGACATGACAGGCCCATCTCTCACTTGGGTGGTTGTCAAAATTAGGGTCCCTTTTTTGGGTCCTGATTATAATACGGTACCTATTATTTTGGGTACCCAAAAAGGGACCATAATTTTGACAACCACCCACTTACTTGCCAACCAGAGCAATCCCTGCAGTTCCCTCATGGCTGATCTTGCCGCCCAGGGCACATAAAGAGTTGGAGCCCAGGAAACTCGTAGACCACGAGGATGCCATGCTGGTCCTCGGAGGCATCACTTGCCCTCTCGCTCACAAGAGGGTGCTGCGCCTCCAAGCCTAAAACCGCTGGCCCTTAGTGGACCCAATGGCATCGCTCCATCTAGCATGCATGCACGACCATCTTTTGTAGCGGCATACACAGAAACTGCAGTCCTGGACATCACTCTCAAAAGCCTTTGCGGGAGTGCGTCATGTCATAGCTGCCTCCGCAGCGATAGTTTTGTGAACAGTGAGAATACTTGAATAACACCAACACCCTGAAATTGTGAGCCTTCCTTGGCTGGATGCTGCTGCATGATGCAAAACCCTGAACCGAAATTCATCGCAGATCCAGGTCTGTCCTCCGGGTCCCAGCGCAGGTCTCGGAAAACAGCATGGTTCTGCACCGCTCGCAGGGCCACGGCGAAGCCGTGGAAGAGGGCGCCGAAGCTGGCTAAGTTCATCTCTAAGCGCCAGAGCCTCGTACAGGTGCAGGGTTTCATTTCAGGACCCGGAATTTTTTTGAATTCCCGTGTTGACCTTGTCCATCAGGGGTTAGGGTCTGGCTTAACTCTTTGTGAAACCCCATATGTGCAATGAACAAGGTGGCAGAGACACGTTGGATGCTGCTGCATTCGCGCGGATTCATTCTCGTCAGCTTTCGGACGACTGGCGAAATTCGAGCTCCTCCTTGATGAAAGGAAGTAGTGCAACTGCTCATCACGATAAATCCGAAGGTAGCACGTGATGACAGATGTGAGCCCCTCGCCCCGATTTTACAATCCGGCGAGTGCCCAAGAAAGGCCTTACTTCGAAACTGCTCAGGGCTTTGTGGGGACCACTGACGCACTGCCAGCGAAGACCCGGACCCTAACACATTCTAGCTTGCCAAGTGCCATAAGCTTGGATACCAGCTCTCGTGTCGGCCCTCACACTACCCATACCTGAGGGACACTGATGGCTTGACAGCACGCTTTGGAAGGTTGGTTGCGAGACGAAGCACTGACACAAACCGAAGTCTCATGCCGGGATGCTTCATACAGAGAGAGCAGTGTCAGACTTAACAGGTCAACTTAAAGCTTGAGAAACCGTGTAGTTCAAAGCTCTAAAGCCCGCCAAGAAGCCAGTTCCACGCGCAGAGCACAGATATTACCAGGAGGAGAACCCCGCTCACGACCCAAGTCATGTCGTTCGTCGCAGAGCCTTCACATGCACTGCTTCGGCAAAGGTACCGTGCGCTGCATGTTGCCCGTCGATGCTTCCTGAATTCCAAGTTCATCTGATTCAAGGAAAACCTCGTGAAACGAAGAGCACACTTCTAAGCCTTACCTCAACCCTAACCCCCTTTCCTAAACACCACAAGGCCGAGACTGCCGTTTAAACTGCGGGACATGGGCCTGTGGCAAAGAGAATGCAGGACATGGAGGTCGCCAGGCCATACCTGGAGCTTCAAGAAGGCCTTTGCCCGGGTACCCAACACATGCATTCGCCATGCTGGCCATGTCAAACAGAAGCAAGAGAACAGCCAAGACACATTATGACAACAAGGACAGCAATCGTAACACGGGTTTAGGGTTTAGGGTTTAGGGTTTAGGGTTTAGGGGCTTTTACACTGATAGGTCTCGGTTTCATCATGACTCTCACACGACAGGTTGCTAAGCATAGCCATGGCTAGACCCCCCCCCAAAAAAAAAAAGTCAGGCCTGGCTCTTGTTGTCCTTAAACCCCATGTCGTCTGCATCTTCCCCAACCGGAATAGATACTTTGGGCCCAGAATGTACCTATACAGGGAGTACCTTAAGGCCAATGTATACACTATATGAGTACATCCCGAAACCTTCATCTTCGGGCCGAGGCTGCAAAATGGGCAAAGCCTTCCGCCGAAGCGGCGGTGCTGTCGCCTCCGGGGACTCCACGTCCTCGGAGCCCTCGGCGAGGAAGTGACCAGCCTCCTCGGGCTTAGGCCCCTTTTTTCTCGAAGGTGCCGGGATCCGGGGTTTCGGGGAAGAGAGGGGAGTGAAGATGCCCGTGCAATAAACTATATCATGTTTCGCTAGGTCAGACACATGAAATTTAAGCCGATACCGGCGTCATTTAAGAGATTTTAAGAAGTATTTCGTGTTGAAAGAGTCCTGTTCTCTGGGCGGGGAGTTCGCAGAGTGTTCGCACAGCTGGTCAACGTGCTGCATTGTGCACCTCTTCTGAAGACACTCAAATGTTCACAGTTCCGTCCTCGAAGCACAGCAGGAGGGTCCCGAATATGAGACCGGTGACCCACACCGTCGCATACAGGATAAATGGAGAGCGGTAGCCGCCATCGCAGCCTGCGTCTCATGGGAGTTTCCGAAAATAGCGGACCCTTTTGCAACTGGCCTGCTGCGACTCCGCCAGGACGAACACTAATAGGGGACCCTAACACCCTGAATAGTCGGCCACTTATTATAAGGACCCCAAATAAGGTACTCAAATTTTCGGACACTCCCTCATGACCAGGAACTGCGCTGAGACACACCCAGCGTGCTTAATTAGGCAATGCTCTTTCAGATATAGAGAGATGCGTATGCAGATTCAGAAGCGCGCATACACGAGTTCATGAGTTTGCACATGTATCATACTCGACAAGAGAAACATGTGTAGATGCTGGACACACTCACATGCAAACAGCCTTCAAAAAGGTACACATGCTGCGGCTCGTCAACACATGTTCATGCAGCCGTACCGCCCCCTCTTCGAGGATCGGAGGCAAATCTGGGTGGGCAGTATTCCGCCTGTTGAGCGACAAGTTGTGCATTCCTCTTCGGATGAGCAATACCTTCATTTACGATGCCCGTGAGTCTGCGCCGCATGACCTGCTGCGATATTTCCGCACATCACTTTCGTGTCCAATGTATGTCAGGCTCAACGTTCTACAGCCTCGGGCCTGGAGCCTCATGCTCCGGTGTATGGTCCGGCAACGAGGTGCTAATATTTTCACCTGTACATACCGACCGGATTAATGGTTCTTTCGGGACTCTTGCTTGCTTGCTTCATGTCTACGAAGAATCAGAAAGAAGATAACCGAAGGCACAGCTAGAGGTGAGAGTGAGAGGTGAGCGTAAGAGCGAGAGTGAGCGCGAGGGCGTTCTATGCGACACACCCGTAGCCCAATAAATGCTTGCACCCATGCATACCTGAAGCCGTACGTTCCGATTTGCCTAAATCCGACACATAGCCACACAAAAACCAAAAACGAACTAAATGGAAGAGACAACATGCTCCAAGAAATGCACACCCTAATTCATGAAAACAAAAAGGCCAATGCACAAAAAGAAAACATACAAGCACACGCATCTGCAATGCACAAAGTCGATTTCTTGCATGTGCTGGCATCCGCATACACATGCTTACTGGCATGCGATTAGAAGGCATGCAAGCATGGCAGCACACTTGCCCTTTCATCCGTTTGCAGCATTCGCACGCAACTTCCCTGCACCACAGCGCACACAAACACACACACACACACACGAGATATGTGCAAAAACACATACACCTACAGGCGTCCGCAGTGCACACATACATCTGTTGATGGAAAGCCAACCGAACAGCAAGTAAGTACAAATAAGGCTCAGTTACCAAACGCCGCACAAGACTACCGTGGCCTGCAATTTGGCTTGCCAAGCCCAGGGTCACGTCCTGTGAGGTGGCGGCACTTTTGGTCTTGGTGATCAAAGATGGGGTACAGAGCTTAAACACCCACGGATGTTCAGAAAGAACTGGCTCAGAAGAGAGGCGTCGTAGGGCGTCGGACCCGCCCAGTCGATGAGCATGGCCGCAAGCCACACCCTTAGGTTGAGGTCTTGGCTCTTGCCTCCCACTTTCGACTCGCACACTCGCACGAAGGCAGGCACGGATTCATGAGGTCGGGATCCCCACCTTCATGGGCTCTATGTTTTGGGTTTTGCCCTCTCGTTAGGTGCAGGCATGTTCATGGATTAGGGGTCGTGCATGCCATCACTACTCACTTCTGGTTCACTACCACTGCCGCGCCGCCGCTGCTGCTACTTCTCTTCCTTCTTCCCCTTTTCCTGCTGGTCCTCATCCTCTTGCTCTGGAGCGGGTGGAATTTCGTGCCCTGTACGCCCGAACCTCCTACAATGGCGGAGAATGCTCTACCCTGCACCCGACAAACGCTCCTGGTGAAAAGGCTGGCAAGTTGCAGGGCGCAGGAGACGCTCTGGGTAAGAGGCAGCGGCTGCCCAGTGAGGAGGAGCCTCTCCACCAGCCAACAGACCTCGAGTCTGTAAGTTGGTCAAGGGTTATAAGTGTTATAAGAGTTACAAGGGTTACAGGGGTTACAAGGGTTATAAGGGTTACAAGGGCTACAAGGTATATATGGGTTGTAAGGGTTTAGGTGTGCATAGAATAAGACTTGGAACTTAGGTGGATGAAGATTGGACGGGTTGACTTTTCACTACAAACGGTTCAGGGTTCAAGCTCGAACACTTCCTTTCTAAGCTTGTGCTTGGCAGGTCGCGAGAACCAGCAGATTCTGCACGAATGCAGCGGCTTTGCCCTCATCCTCCGCTGAAACCTCGGAAACCGGGTGTTGGTGGCTCCGGACGATGCATTGCGGCGCCGGATCTTGCCAAACTGTCACGAAGGAGTCATCATGTGTGAACAACGTAGAGTTCCAGCAAATGCAAGATGCTGCAAGTTGAGATCTAAGCCTTCAAATCCTTAATTACTCACGACGCGAAAAGCAGAGGAAATCTGATAAATGGTACAGGTTTGGGGTGCCTGATATTGACTACTCCATGACACCAGCTGAACAAGCCAAACCTAAGGGGTTGTGCAGCCCGCACGCCTCAATGTGCCCCTACCTGGAACTCCGACTTCAACCCCAGAACACCCCTGTTCTGCATCCGCGTTGTGGAATTCTGGCGAGAAAGCTGCACGAAACTGCCCTAAAACCCCTTTTTCAGCACGGACTGAGGTGCCAGCCAGTGCCCACTAAACTCCCATCCCCGTTTTAAGGCAAGAGTTCGAAGGAAAAGCTGTAGAAGACAAAAGACTGAAGCTTTACCCTTGTTTTGGATCAGGACTTGTGCAATCGCCTGAACACTGACTTCCCCCTAAACCCTGAACCCTAAACGACCGTCCAAGGTGCGCCCATCAGGAAGGGCGACTCTCCCAACACCAGGCCGCAATAGAGCATTAAGGCGCCCAAGGCGCCCTGCGTGCTCCTGGAGACATCGAGGCTTCGAAAGGGAGTTCTATATGGGTACCTATGAGGGTACATATGGGGTCTATATGGATCTATATGGGTGTGTATATATATATATATATATATATGAAGGGTTTCTTGAAGGGATCTATGAGGGGCTTTATAAAGGGTTTAGGGTTTAGAGTATGAGGGTACATATGGGGTCTATATGGATCTATATGGGTATGTATATGGGCACTATGAGGTTTCTATATGGGAGTTTCCGAAATCAGGGGTACCTTATTTTGGGCTCCATATAATAAGGATCCTACTATTTGGGGTACTAGCTTAGGGTCCCCTATTCCCGGAAACTCCCATATGTGGGTATGTATATATATATATATATATATGGGTACTATAAGGTTTCTACAAGGACTCTCGTCTTCTCCTGGTTCCAAAAAGGGTTCATTTGCCAGCACAACCAAGGTTAAGGGTTTAGGGCTTAGGGCTTATGAAACCGCCGCCATGGCCTCTAGATTCCGGATTTATGCATTTATAGACCTTGACTATTACTCACTCCGGACAGGAATTATCGGGCCATGTCATCGGTTCTGAAGGTAGGAAATGAGATGTCACGAGTCACGACCAACGTCCGTCTATTCTGCGGTCAGTTAGTCAGGATGTATGTCTTCATCAGCTGCAACAGGTCAGCTTACAAGCTTTAGCCGCCTATCGCATCGGCTCTACTACGAAACATCGCATGTAGTAAGTTAACGAGGCTGTACAGGGCTTGTAGAGAATTGGTGAGGAAGTACCCGGTGACCATCTAAAGTCTTAAGCTGTGGATCCTTTTCATAGGTGCACTTAAACAGAGCAAATTCAAGCCACGACCAACGAGAGATAATGCATGCCCCGGGGTCAAGGACAAAGGTTAGCAAAGGACCAAGACAGGAGCCAGTGTTTGGAATGGACAACATGGAGAAGCCAAAAAACAAACCCGACATCCAAACGCACCAAGCTCAAGCAAGATCCAATACAGATCTCCACAAACAATTGTCCACACGACTGCAGCTGCGAGGCGCACAAAAATCATCATCCACCTCTGCTGACGGCTGAGGCAGCTTCAGGCCAACGCTGAAACTCGAAAATGAACATGGCAGTATTGAAAACAGAGCCCAAGGCTCTCTTTCTTTCGCCAGGGTTATGGGCAAGAGGATTGCTCCCCTTTGGGCTCTTCTTCTGCCCTTTGGGCTCTCTCTCTCTCTCTCTCTTTGCTTGCTGTCTCTCTCTCTCTCTCTCTCTCTCTCTCTCTCTATCTCTGTCTCTCTGTATCTCATGTCGTTGCGCTGGACCGGAGGATCTGGTGCCTTCGGATTTTCAAAGGCCCAGCCACCATGCAGCCGTCCTCATCATCCTCGAATTCTTCGTCATGCCTCTTCGGCCGCGTTTGCCCTTAGCTGAGGAGAGAAGTCCGTTTCGCATGGAATCTTGTGGCCACATCCACGAAGGCTGTGGGAGCAACAAAAACGGTACTGGTCACCATTGGCAACCACCACCGTCGTCATCGTCGCCGTCGCCGCTGCAAAGCATGATGGACAACAACATGATACTGAAGGTCGGGAGATGATGCAGGCAGCATCTCCCAATCACAACGTCACACTTCCGAATCCGAGCAGCTCAGAAGAGACAGCCCGCATGCAGAAACCAGCCTTGGTCTAAGCTTCGGGAGCTTTCGGGCTTCGGTTTGAGGTGGGCTTTCAGGGCTTTGAGCTTCGGGATTCAAGGGTCTTGGTGCTTCTCGCTATCACCGCAGCGTCGGCGATGGCCTGCGGAACGAGAACATCGGCGTTGCAGAGCTCGGTTATTGGAGAGAGTTCAACCGCCTCTCCAAGCTGGCCGAAGCAGAGGCCGAAGGGGTAGCACGGTGCTGCATCAAGACATTGCTAGTTGTCAAAATTATGGCCCCTGTTTGGGCACCCTAAATATTAGGGGCCGTATTAGAACAAGGACCCAAAAAGGGACCCTAATTTTGATAACCACCCACATGCAACTATTACCCAAGCCGTGCATGGCATCAGCAACTTCTTTTCTGTTTCAGGAACGCTGTCACCAGTGTAAAGGCTGGATATGTCGTAGATCTGCTACCAGCATATAGGCTGGATATCATGGACCAGACTCACCCTAGAGCGACACCGTCCGCACAAAAAGAGGCAAGCCCCCTTACTGGAGCAAGCCAAGCAATTAAACTCGCTGCCGGACACAGCTTCGGAAGGATCCAAAGCTGCATGGCCGACGTTCACAGAGCGCCGCGGAGCTGCGAGCTGCAAACCGCTATTGGCCCGTAAACAAAACATGTGAAGGGAAGCTGCGCAGAACACCTTCAGGTGCTGCTGCAGCAGGACAGGTGTCGGCATGTCTTTGGCATGGAACGGTTAAGCAACTCCTGCTAGTCACATCAATCTATGAGCATGCACACCTTTCGGACACCAACACAACCCATCCTGCTAAAGCTTGCCCGAGCAAAAACTGCACTTATCCGCACTCATCTGCAATGCCTGACCCGGCTCTTCAAGGGAGCGCGGCCGCCTCAAAGCCAGAAGGGCTCTCCCGCAAGAATGCGGGCTGTTGCCGCTTCCTTCGCCTGATCAGCTGGTCGCTGCTTCCTCCTCTGCCGTGCCGCCGCTTGCAGTTGCCTTCTTCGCGCTGTTGCTTGGGAGGCTGTGCAGAAATGGCAATGGGAACATTTGTCGCCCTTGTAGCACCCCGCCGCTCGGAAGGCAAAGGCCACACAGGGGTGGCATTCCCCCGCCCTGTGGAGCCGAAGCTTCTCCAGGGGACTGGCAGCGAAAAACCTGGATTTTGCGGTTTCCGTCGCTTCCGTGGGTTCCGGAGACTCCGAAACTGTGCTGCTGCCAGGAGAGACTTGCCCTGGCTCGAACTGGAGACCCGGAGGGAAAGGAATCTGCTCAAAAGCCGTGTGCTTCAGGAGGATGTACCCTGAAGTCGAGGTGTACTGAATCCCAGGAGCTCTGGTAGTCATTCTGGTGTCACGGCCTGGAGGCTTGTGACCTGTACCGGGCAGAGGTTTGAATTAAAGAGCTTGAGCCGTAGCCACGGAACAGGCACAACTGCGTCTTGCCCATCACAATCATCACAGAAGAGGCAGGCAAGCTTACACTCTTGCAGACTCTTTCGTGAGTCTATGTGTGTGGTTCTGAATCTGGCCGCATCCAGCGTCATAGCATCCAGCATGCATTCGGAGCCAAGTGGTTTCAAGCAGAGCAGAATACCTTCCGGACAGATTTCACTCACGACAGCCCTGAACGACGCTGCGGAACCATAGACCACAAAAGGGTTCGATTGAGCTGAGGAGCAGCGAAACCGCCGAAGCAGCCACTGTTGCACCGCGTGGAATGCCCGGAAGGCCATACAAAGGCATTGGGGGAGGGAAGGGCGAAAGGAGTGTCTTGCATGGCTAAAGATGGCTAAAGCATGCCAAACCCGTCTCCGGAGCTATGTTCCAGGTGTAAGGGTCTGATGTTGAGAGACAAGAGTACCTGGACGCGAAGGGGTGTCAACTGCAACTGCCTGCTTGGAAGCACTCTGCGCAATAATGAGCACGGCTGAGTTGTGCGGATTTGGCCTGAGTTGCTCGCTTGTTCCGCAAATCTGCATTTGGTTTACAGTAGACCTGACATCGTGGCTGTCGCACACTGACGTCTGCATCGGTGCTGCAGTCATTTTGCACTCTTTCGAGCCATGAGAAAAACCAGCTGGAGACTGGCGACACTGGCTAACAAACAGCTCTAGCTTTCAATTTGAGGGCCCATTCTGTGGCAAAGGGTGTCCCCGCTCCTCACCATGGAATCTCCTCAGCACGCCAGTCGAAGAAGCGGCCCGTGTGGTCCATTGTCCGAGAGGCAATGATGGCCAAATGGTTCTCGGCCTGACGCTGCGATCTTGACACCATTGCTTGCAATTTGCTGCCGCGTGGGGAGGGAATGTCATTGCCTGCAAGCAAGGACAGTGCGAGCCCCATGGTCGTCTAGGGTCTGCCCAAGCAGCGTGGCCTGCACCCAAACCGTCACCCTCAACCCCAGCCTTCATCCCACAAAGTCCGAACCCTCATGCCCAAGCTCGCGGCTGCTTCGTCCACGTCCTGCCTCGGCGTCTCCATTGGTATATACGAGACTGGAGACTTGGGTCCAGCTTATGGTGGACAATACGTAGCCCCCACGTTGCCTTGAATCTCCTTGCGGACCAGAGTGCACCGTGTACTTCGACCGCGCCCGTGCAAAGGCACGTGTGAGGTCCTCCGAGCTCTAGCTTTGTCTTCGGATGCTTTCTGGAGTGGGGCCCTTTGGCAAATCACAAGCCTTCCTAAAGACTTCGGGGGCTTTGAAGCCAAGGGCGGCTCCGTGTCGACGGTGCCCGGGTGCAAGGCGAAGCAGCAGACCCGGTGTCGGGCGAGCTCTACAGAGGCCGTCCGCACCACCTCAGAGAATCTTCAAGCTCAAGGTCTCAAACTTGCAAGTTGGTTCAAGTGATCTTAAAACTGACAAGCATGGTGAACCAGACTTCGGTGGCTTTCCAGGCCTCAAAGGCAACTAGGTGGTTGTCAAAAGTATGGTCCCTTCTTGGGTCCCTATTATAATACGGCACCTAATATTTAGGGTTCCCACCCTAACTTCGACAACCACCCAACTAAGGCAACTCAACTTGCACCTGGTTCAGGGCGGCCTTACTGCTGCGGTACGAGTACCAGCCGCCTGCTGCGCAGAGAGGCGGCACAAGGGGGTGCAGCGGGGTTTGGGAGTTTAGGGCTTAGGGCTTAGGGTTTAGGGCTGATAGGGTTGAGGGCTGATAGGGTTGGGAGTTTAGGGATGCCCTTTGGGATATTTAGGGGTGTTTGGGGTTCTGGGTTTAGGGACGGCTTAGGGACGTTTACAAAGCCAGAGCCTGTGGCATTGTCGCCGATGGAGCCCACGCGGGCGCTGTAGAAGACTGCTGTCGACTTCGGTGCCTTTGGTACCAAGGGGCCTTCCGTCTCCGAAGTTTTGAGGAGAGGAGCAAAGTGCTTCAGGACCATCAGGGGTCCCAGCACGTTCCTTGGCAAATCGTCCGGAGGGGGGGTTTGGGGAAAGAAAAAGCCTCCCTCAGCCCTAAGCCTAAGCTCCTTGCCGAGGTGCACTCTAAAGGTGTAGCAGATCGCACCTGGATCCAAGCGCTGCAGGCTGTTCTCGGGGATGACCCCGCGAGACTTGTCCTGCCTCAGCTCCGAAGCAATGGCAAATGCACAAAACCCACGAGGCATGGTGTGTGTGTGTGATATCTGTGCCAAGCCGCAGCAGCCCGGCAGTGTGGCACAGAAGCTCCAGCCTAGTCTGTTTTCGGCAGTGCTTCGCTATCATCTTGCATGCTGAGGAGGAGAGAATGGTGTTTTCTTGCATTGCGGAGGCCATATCAGGCCCCTGAGGCCTTAAGACGCTCCCTGAAACGCACCTAACCTCCAAAGCTTTCCAAGGGCCTTTAGAGCTGCCAGAGCACCCAGCAGGCCGGCTGGGAGAAGCCAAGATGCCGTGAGCGCGCTCTGCTGCATCCGCGACACTGCTTTCGTCCTTGGAGTGCTGCCATGCTGTGCTCTAGATGGAGCCTGGACCTCAAAGCACAAGCAGAAAAAGAAATCAAGTGTAGCCTCTTTCAGTCTTTGACTTACTTGATGATTATCTCACACACAAACGTCCCCGATCAGAGTTCCACGTTTCTTCAAGTCGGGCCAATTGGACAGGAGGTAGCAAAATCGCTGGGGAAAGCAGCTGCTTGAGTGCAGTGTAGCATCAGAGGGTTTTCTGGGTGAGGGCCATAGTAGCCGTAGAACATATGTAGAACACTTAGGGTGCAATGCAAGGGCAGGTGGCGTGCGGAGTCTAGGGTCTAGAGCTTAAACAGAAAATTTCAGCCTGCACGTGCTCTACACGCCTTCCAAGAGAACCCGTTAAGCACACTTCGATTTCCAGCAAACCTGCCTTTTTTTGCTTCCTGCGTCCCGCGTCTGAGTGACGAAAATCGAAGGGCCCATAAGGGCCCCTTTCAGGCGTCGGCGTCAGCATTCCCAAGCAGCGGCTCCCTCAGGCTTTCCGAGTCCTCCTGCGACCAAACCAGGCTCCAAAAGGCCCCAAAACCGAATACGAGGAAGAGGAATAGTATGGACTATGGAGCAGAGCATGGAAGAAGAAAGCGTGCAGAAGCATGCAGAAACAGTGTCAAGATGATGAGAACCTGCACAAAATGATGGCTGGTGGCACGGTCAAGATGAAAAAGGCTGTGCCGCTCGCCCGTTTCGCTAGCACCACGCTCTACGACGATCATTCGCTCAAACTTGCGAGATGCGAACAACACGCAGCGATGCATCCTTTCTTCCATGTTCCACTGACAAAGAGGTAGACATGTGCGTGCACCACTCGACATACATGTAATGTTTTGTGAAAGTGAAAGCCCCTCGGTGCTGAAGAAGCAGGGATGTCCACAGTGACATGTGGCAGCTCTCCGAAGCCCCCTGTGGCCCTCTCTGAACCGAGAACTCCTCTCTCTCAACGCCAGGTATCTCGGCCTTCAGGACCATGCTCTTGAGCTTCACTGAGAGGCTCGGGCCCAAAGCGACGAAGGCGACCCAGGCCGTGAAGCCGACCAGCCGGACAAAGAGGGGCAAGGCCCCGAGCTCCTGGTCTCTCCATGGAAACTCTGACATCTGTGGGAGCTGTGGCTGTGGCTCTGCGCATGTGCTGGAGTGGCTAGTCTGCAGTCAAAGACGAGCCGGACAGGTTTTTCGCATCTCATCTCAGTAGGACGCGGGACCCTTTCTGAGATCTCCCAGGTCCTTCAGATGCACACCGTTGACGTAGGCGTTCACGGCACCAGCCCAGGAGCGCCTCAGAGCTGCTTTGGGCCGAGGGCCTTGGGCCCTCCAGGTGCACAACTTACCTTTGGTTAGCAGGGAATGGAGGAATGGGGTACAACGGTGCAATCATAACTACTATTGCTACCAGGCTTCCATTCCCTACTAACCAAAGGTAAGACAAGCCTCCTCCCCTTTTTGGGCCAAGCTGCGGAAAGGTGAGATCCGAGAGGATCTCGGCAAGGAAGAAGGCCAGGCTGCTGGAGACGAGCAGGCCCCCGGCGGCGTAGCCCAACAACTAGCCAGGGATAGGGAGACATGCCGATGAAAACAAATCAGATGACTTCGAAGCAAGCTGCATTTCAGAAAGTCGCTTCGCCTCGCTCGCCCGCTTGCCCCCGTAGCCCGTGGCCGCCACTCCCAGAGCCAGGAAGAGGAGGTACCAGAATCTCGCGGAACGTGACAAGCCATGGATGTTGGGACTGGGATTGGTGTCGGTGTCTGCCTAGCGACTTTTCTCCCACCAAAGAAATGCAGCTCAGGGACGGGACTTGAGCCGGAATCCAATCCTGCGCCCAGGCTGCGGAGAGCTGCGCGGCGAGGAGCCCAAGGACTGCGCCAAGGACCTGAAAATGCCAAAGATGGGAAATGTGAGGGTGGTTCATGGTCCTGCATTACCGCTGGCCGCTGCAAGCGCTCCAGCTGGCTGACATAGGTTCGCTACGAAATCCGTTTCTGACTCCGAACTCCGAACATCCTCTCTCTTTGAGCCCAGGGGCCAGCTGAAAGCCAGTGTAGCCCACCACGGCCGCCGCAGCGGTGAGGAGCGCAGCCTCTTCAAAGCTCTCCGGAGATCACAAGAAACATCAAACCATCGTCGACACATCATCAAGATCATCCTCTTTGTCATCCTGCCACAACCAAATCCTAAGGTTTAGCCTCCACTACATCCACGGCCTCGGGTCAGACACCTCAGGCATGGACCAATCCTCGATCCGGCAAACTGCCTGGAGTTCAACCCTTTCCCTGGCCTCACCACCCACAAGCACAGAAAGGAGCAGGGACTCGCCGCCTTTGCAAAGGAAAGAGTAAGCAAAGTGACGGGAAAGTGGTGTTTGGGCTCCCGCACTCGGATACTGCAGGGTTCAAGCATAGGGGATGAGAAAAGGATAAGAACTCAACCCGGTGCTTAGGACAATCAGCAGCTCTATTATTGACCATCGCCGTGCCGCAAACTTGTGACTGACTACGGCGCGGACATCAGCTATGGCAAAGAATGCAACATGGCCGTACGCGCAAACCTCCACAAGCGCTGTGTCCCGCTTTGTGCCCCGCCTACCGACAACATTGCCGTGTCTGAAGAATACTAAAGATCTAAAACCCCAAATCCCCAAACCATCCAAAACCCGAAGGCTCCGAAGAAGTCGCTCCAGTTCCCGGCACCGGCGGCACTTGGAGTAGTTCTGGTGGCAATACCACTAGCAGCAGTAGGAATCTTGGTAGGGTGGTAGTCGTCGTCGTGGTCGTGGTAGTGGTGGTGGTGGTCGTGGTGGTCGTGGTGGTCGTGGTGGTCGTGGTGGTCGTGGTGGTCGTGGTGGTCGTGGTGGTCGTGGTGGTCGTGGTGGTCGTGGTGGCGATAGCAGCAGCAGACGAAGAATAATGATAAGAAGAAGAAGCAGCAGCAGAATGTGCTAGTGGGAAGCATTGCATTCAATCTGTCGACAAGCTTTTGCTTTAGACCCTGGGCTCCAGAAACTCGGCTTGGCCAACTGAAGACAGGATGCAAAAAACAAGGCCTTGTACCCGGAGCTAAGAGCCCATGAAACATAGCAGTTGCTTCTAAAACAACGAGGTGCCTTTCGCAGTGGGCTTATAGGCAGGATCCTGCCGCAGTGTGTGTGTGGTGAAGGCCGTATTTTCTTATCCGAAAACCCATGAAAAAGGAGCTGCTGCACCCTGACACTGAATCTTACATTGATTTCGAGGCACCCCAGCCCTCGAAGAACTTCTGTCCTTGGCTGGTCTTGGTGCCTCAATTTTTTGTTCTTCTTCTCATGGCTATGATCCTCATTATTGCCACTCATATAAAAATCTACTACGATTTTGATCATTGTTGTTATGATTATTGTAAGCCGAAGGCTTCCAGGTTCAGGTCGACGTGTGGGGCGGTGGTTGGTACTGACTTGATTTCCCTTCAGGTTCTCTCTTTCCCTCCCTCTCTCACTCCCTCCCTCTCCCACTCCCTCGCTCTCACGCTCACTTAAGCTAGATTACAAAAAGCCTCGAAGGACGAGCAACCGAAGGGAGGCAAAAACAACAAAAAAGAGCTGCTTGCACCACGGCTCCGGTCGTCATGCCAACCCCCAGAGCCACGAGCACTAGGCTGGCCGCCAAGATGAAAAGCTCACTATCCAAGCAGCTCCTGTAGCTTTCATGGAAGCAAAGCTGAAGTTCTCATAATAAGCATCCTACTATTTCAGCACTCACACTCGGATTCTACTACTCCGGGTACAATTTACAGGGTCCCATAGAAGGTCACTTATTAGAGCCATAGTACAATGTGGAGAAGGATGTGGCTTGCTTTGTAACTCGCGGATACATCCAGTCTGTAAGATTCCGAGTCGCACGGCACCCAACAAGGCCGCGAGGAGGGCTACGAGGTTCTGGCAAGGAAGGCCCTGGAGCCAGTTGAGGAAGAGGCCGATGCCGCTCTGCACCCAGGCCTAACGTGGAGAGGGACTCGGGACTCAGCATCATGATATGATTCATATGATGATATGATGGGGTTCTGTAGCAGGCTTCTTCTGCGGGGCATCGGCGAGACACCTAGTGGGAAGGGCTACAGGGCTTATAGGAATGCGGGATTTGGTAGCCCAGCCTGGCGTTCCGGCAGCACTTCGTCGGCTTTGCTTTTGAGAGCGCTGGCCTCCTCCTCGGCCTGTTGCTCCAAGGCCTGTGCCTTTCGCACACGGCGCTCCAGCTGCGTCCGCCGCTCCTCCGACTCCGCCATCTGGCTTTTGGTGCCATTCAACTGTGATTGCAGGTCTGCGGCCCGCTCCTGCGATTCAGCTATAGAGCGCTTGGCTGCGGCATATCTGAGCTTGCAGTCTTCTGACGTATGCTGGCTCTCGTTTAGCAGCTGTGCCTGGGCTGAATGGTTTCGGATTGCATTTTCGATCACGAAGTCCGCGACCATGATCCGCTGCATCTGCTGGTGAATCTCTTTCTGCAGCTCATGGACAGACTGACCCGAACCCGAGCTGTCACCGGCGCCGGCTCCCGTCGCGAGCACTGCCACGGCAGCTAGCCATACCGTCATCCGGCCAACGGCCCCCGGGGAGAGACCCCTTGAACACCATGCTGCGGAGTGGGAAGGCTGAAGCCGCTGAAAACCCTGAAGATACAGGCAAGACACACATGACATGAATAGAAGCCGCAACCCCTGCCACAGCCAGGGCTCAGTCACGTCCATCTGGAGCACGCTGACAGAATGTGGAAACATCCTTGAATTGAAGCAGGGATCGAGCTGATTGGGGATCACGTCCCGGCTACACAATACTTTTGTCAACTCAGGAGTACTTTGTCCACTACAACAGCACTTCACCGCCACGTGACCCCCAAAACCGCAAACATCTCCGACCTCGATGCACCGATACGGCCCCGAGCAACTGAAACCAGAGGCCTCTGTCTGGAACCTGCAAATCTCACCTTGCGACTTACCCAGAGTGTGTCCGCTTGAAACCCCCACGGCTGAGCCTCTCCAGCTCTGCAAGGGCCGCTGTAGGAGTGCGTGCGGCACAAAGCACAGCATCGCCGCGGTGAGCCTTGACAATGACCCAAGTCCTAGCATGAAGAACGCCACAGGAGTGTTGCGTAGACTGACTGCTTCCCCAGCCGCTACTACTGCGACGACGAGGACGAGGGCGAGGAGGAGGACGACGACGGTGACTTGCTGGAAAGCTTTGTTACTGCAGCTGTCACTCCTTTGCACGCCTAAAAGGGACCCTAATTGGGGTTATGGTACTTATAAGTCCCAAAAATAACCAGTTACTAAGTCTCCCGACCCTCCAAGTAGCCCTTAAAGCATTTCTACTTCTGGGCTCCCCAACCAGCCGTTTCGCCAGCGCCAGACCGAGCCCCCGGGAGGCGCCCACCACACAGGCGCGGCGCATGGCAAAGCTCTGGCGCGGTTGCGGTGCTTGGCCTTTTTCTGGGTCAAGTCTGGGGCTCCATGGGTCCTTCATCTTCCCTGATGCGTGTGAGTCTTGCTGGGCACGGAGAGTTACTCAATGTTGCGGCTTCTGATATTGCAGCTAGACTTTGACAATGTGGATTGCTGTGATTCTCGCTCCCACCATGAGCCGTAGGTTCTTGTTGCAGGCGCGTTGCTGCACTCCCGCTTTTCTGGTCACGGCTATTGCTGCTAGTCTGCGGCATCGGTGCTAGCTAGAACTGCTGCATACACTGCGATGTCCGTGTGAACGGCAATGGACGTCAAGCCTACTATGGTTCTTGATGGTGCTTGTGGAGTCTAACCCGTGCCGCACCTATCATGTATGCCGCAGTAACGCGCTTTGGAGTGAGCAGAGATGGCTGCAGATATGCGGCGCTTGCAAAGCCTCAAACCCCAGGCCGGAAGGAAAGACCAGGAAAGCCAGTTGACAGCACAACCCCACCACTAGACTTTACGTTCCATGCACGCATAATACGCATCCAAACGAAGAGCAGGCGCTGCTGTGTTATGCGTCAACGCGTCTAGCCTTCTACAAGCAGCTCGAGCGATGGAAGTTCACATGTTACAAACCAGACAGCGCCTCTAACATCCCGGAGTCTCTGGTACCACAATGGCTGTAGGGCTTGCACTCAACCTTGTCGACTGCGGGGATGATGACTATTTTGGCACGCACCTGGAATGTCACATGGGCCAGGGCCAATGCATGGAGGTCTGAAGTCTGGAGGCTAGCGGATTCGCATCTGAAACGGACTTCCAGGGTGACTTGAGAAGCGGCCTGCGCTACATGATCTTCGGCATGCTTGTCGGCACGCTCCTTCAGCCTCTGGATTGCTGCCTCGGAACGGTCGCCGGCAAATCGAGCCAGGGATCTCAGGTAGGCTTGGTTGATTAAAAGAGACAAAGGGATTACTCATGCAGTGTGCTGAGACCTACAGCAGAACTCTTGGGACAGAGAGAGTCCGTGACATGAAACCCCGAACCGAGGAAGCCAACCTCCACGGCTGCGTCGACCTGCTGAATCTGCTCGTCTCCGCAGATGTAGGGCGGAATGCCATCCTCGTGCATTCTGCGCTCAATCCGTCCGAGTACACTGGGCCGACAATATGGCAGCAATCACGCCAGCCATGGGTCGGTGCAGTTCTATGAAGCCATGTGGCCAGAAAGAGGAAGCCAGGGCCACCAAATCGACAAGAATCAAGGAATCGCTCCAGTCATAAAAGATGAACCCAGCAAGACTTCGACACGAAAAAGACCTTTGCTGCCGCCTGCTTCTCCCGATCAACATTGCTACTAGTGCGTAAGGTATTCACCTTCGGTGGGATCAAGCCTGCAATCTTCAGTGGCTAGGGATAGGTGGGTAGCTGAGCCTGTGCCTGAACAGGCCTTACTGGCAGAATGAGAATGCATGGGACGACGAAGAAAACCAAAGAAATTGCCAACTCGAGCACAAGTCGAAAACTCAGTAGGATGGGGTGTGGTTTACGCTTTGTTTGGGGCTTAGAGTTTAGGGATGCTTGCTCGAATGCACGAAACATCTCTTGGGCGGCAGCCGGCTGATGGGCCATCCGAACCAGCCACCAGAGGTCCTTCTCCATGTCCTGCAGACTGCCGATCTGAGACAAGGCGTCTGAATCGGCCGAGGTTTTGGGCCCGTCTAGTATATCTATATATCTATGTCAAGGAACTCCAAGATACCGAAACAACCAGAATTCAAGCCCTGGTACTATGGAGATTCGCAGGAGCGCAGGATGCATTCTCTTGGCACGGCATGCACGAAAGCCTCAGGAAATGAGGGACACGAATGTGGAAGGATGTCAGCTGCGAGGGGCCCAGGCCCGAGAACGTATTATGAGATGGTTCGGGTTTAGGGTTTGGGGTTTAGGGTTTAGGGTTTAGGGAGAAAGAATCTCGTCGAGTCTGGCTGAGCATCACGGAAATGTCATGAAGAGGCTTGCATAGCATGTGGGCCCTGGCTGCACTGCGCCTTGGGTGAGACAGCGCTTCCACAAGACCACCCGTGACCGCAGGGAGTTGTGGTGGAGGGGACGATTTGAGGCGCATGTGATGTCCGGAACCGGCTCAAGGGGCCCCTACCCGAAAATGGGGCTATACAATGGGAATATAATAGCGATATTAAGGGGCCTCCATGAAGAAGGCGATCTCCTCCAAAAAAAGGCCGACCTGCAGGGAAAGCCCGGCAGTGAAACGAACCAAGTCGCTGCCCGAAACCAAACGGGAGTTTCCGAAGATTTGGGACCCTAATGTAGTACCCCAAATAGTAGGATCCTTACTATAAGCACCCCAAAATAAGGTACCCCTAATTTTCGGAAACTCCCAAATACATCTGAAGACCACGATGCCCATTGAGAAGGGATGAAGGGTTCGGGCTGACACGCAGGTGTCTGAAAAGATCGCCGCTTCAGAGGAGGTTTCGGATTTCGGATACAGGCTTGTGGGCTGGCGGCATGCACCAATCCAAGCAGAAGGAACTGAAGGAGCCTCCACAGCTCGACAATGCAACGGTAAATCATGAGTAAAGTTTGTATTGAAACCATGCCGTTCTTAGATGCTCGAATTGGTGTTCCTGGTCAAACCTCCCAAATGTCCTGCGCCCGGTTGCCTTCGGTATGGTTTGCTTGCAGTGGCTTTGAATCCCAATCAAGCACCTCCAAACCCTCACAGGGTTTAGGATGTTTTTTTTAGCTTTCAGCCCTTCATCGGAACCCCTGCACCGACCCTCTGAGCATTCCGGGCTCCAGGCGGTGACCTCCTTGATTACCGGCCTCAGGGGATGCGATGCACGGCCCAGAGTCCCTGCTCCCATAGTCCCAGAGAGCCCAATACCCCTTAATTAAGGAATATAGCTTAAATCATAGTATGGAGCCCCTTATGATTTAGGGTATATTGCTTAATTAAGGGGTATTGCTCTCTGGGGTAGGGGCTTAGGCCTTAGAGGGCATTTTTTCCCTCCTACCTAGCAAGGTTCTAGGGTTTAGGAGCTGTTGAAAGCTCAGGACCCACTCACCTTCTGAAAAGAGTCCTTTCCACAATGCGTGCTTCCGACGTTTTAAACCAACAAGCGGCAACTGCCGATCCTCCACTCATCGGACTGTGCTACGGCTAACATCCATGCACCAAACCCGGTCCCCTTCCACAACTTCCGCTCGTCCTCGCTCTAAACGCGTGCTCGGGCTTCTTACCAGAAGAGGCAACCAAGAAACGCAGGTCGGGCCGCTTGCATGTCATAGGGACCCTTAAAAGGAGAGGGGGAGGGGTGTAGGGGACTATACTTCCTTAAATAGGCCTTCCGTATTATCTGCATTAAGGGCCCCCTACCCCCCCTCCCCCTAAACCCTATGATCACTTGTTCGGCCAAACCTACCTCGAGCATGTTTGAACCACGTCGATGTAGAAACCCCACCACATGCACGGAAGCCGGAGAAAGCTCTCCTCTGAGAAAGAACTATGACAGCAAAGCACTGCTCGTTGCTAAGAACAAGCAGAAAACGTGACGAATCAAGACCGCAATACCGCGCGACCTCTGACACACACCAGACTACGCCAAAGCCACCATCCCATCCCCATTCCTCTGAGGCCCACGCTTCTCACCAACCTCTCATGCTCTCTCGCAGGCGAGCGTTCCGTGGTTTTGGGATATGTATTAAGGCTTCTCTGATGGTCTAGGGTTTCGGACTGTTGCCGAATCCAGGAAACCTTCGACTCTCACAGGTTGCCAAGTCCTCACCCACACCTGTCGTAGCAACTAGCAGAGGGGAGGACAGACTTTGTGGTTCCAGTGCAGTTCCTTTCAGCAGCACTCTTGCATGCTCACACCCGCCCAAGATCCCGTCAAGGATGGCGGCTCTCAGAGGCAGAGGAGCAGTGATACTCGGTGCAAGGTGGACTCAAGACCATGAATTTAAAGATCCCAACCTACTCCCAGCTCGTTTTGGGCGGTCTGCCCAGCAGCATGTCGCAGGAGAAGACACGAGTTCCCTGTCCCATGCAGCGGAACTGTCACCACTCCCTTAACTTCGATTCTTGTGCGGCGCAAATAGTCAGATTGCCCAGGCCGCACGCCGAAACTTTGAAGTCCTAAACGAAACCTGAGCCAATAAAGAACAACCAGCGCTGCCACATACCCTGCAGTTTATGCCCTGGCGCAAATCTCCACAAAATCCCACAGAAGCCCGAAACCCAGTACTTCCTCACTCCAACTCGCTTTTGACACCGCAGTCTCGTGCTGCTCGATTCGATGCATGCCGAGACGAGTAGAGATTGAGCTGTCTGCAGCCGTAGCCTGTCAGCTACGCGAGCTTCCGACACCGCCAAAAAACCGGGGATTGGAGAGCCCATGGAAAAACAATGCTTTCTTGGAGATCAGCTTGATGTTCGAAAACCGCAAGCGCTGAACATCCTTCTCCAGCACAGACCTTTGATGGTACATCAAGTTCGGGTACAGCAGTGCTCCGGTCCGCTATGACATCCGGTTCTCCGCAACACCGGCACGTTCGACCAGCTGTTGCATAAAGATCTCTTCTCAGGACATCTCATTGCGACATCCCTAAACCGAGGTGTTCGGTCGTTGAAGCGCGACGTCGCGCAACAGGGTGCGCGAACACCGCGTCTCCGGGTTCAGGCCTAGCTCCTGCAGCATCGCTTGCACGCGTGTCCATGCCAACATTGCCTACATTGGCCCTTTGCGCACATGTTCACACGCACGGGTGGACTCTGCAGCCAGCCACAAGACGTTTACCGTTTCCGAACCGTTCTCAAAGGCCGCATTGCTTCTCAGACTCCAAGTTGGATACGTCGTTGTCGTTGGGCGGTTCTTCGTCGTTGGGCTGTGCGGCAGAAACCCGCACCGTCCAGCGCGGACGAGGTCGGGCGCTCAGCCCCGACGCTTCGTCGGCGGCGAAAGCAGCTTTCTCTTGCTGCTTCCACTTCTGGGAGAGGCGGCGCATCTGCAACCACGTGAAGAGCGAAACCAAGCCAATAGTTGGTGAGATCAAGGCCTGAAGGACACCTGGAAGGGACATGTGGATAGGGCCCACTCCCTGGAACATGACTGAACCCGTCGTGGAATCGTAGTTATCTCGCATGTCCAGGTTGAGCAGAAAGCCAAGGGCAATGGTGTAAAGCAGCGGTAGCCAGAAGCGCGACCACTTATCCACGGCCTTGGACCACTCCAGCCAGTAGCTGTGAGAACGCCTCGCGTGGTGGTTCTTTGAGGAGCTGTAGTTCTCGGCGCCGAGCTTGACCTCCTCGAAGGGCGTGGTCCAGAGCAGCTCCAGGCAGATTTCGACGAAGTCGCTGCAGTCGAAGAGAACTCGGGGACTCCAAGCGGCCCTCAGGATCTCCAAGAGCACACTGCGCGAGAGCGAAAGGTTGACGAAGCTCAACATGCAAGCAGCCTCCTCCATGGTGATCAGGCCGCTGGAGTCGGAGTCAATCAAGTGGAAGAGGTTCTCGAAGAAGATCAACTTTGCAGTGTCCGTCTCGGACAGCTTGCCCTGGGAAACCATCTGGAGTCGGCCACCCTTCCTGGCGCTCTCGTCCAAGAGGCTGGAACGCTCACGGTTGAGCTGTCGGTAGATTCGCCCTGCGTTCGACTGTGCCGCGGCGTTTCCTTCGGGCCGGCAAAGACACCATGGAGCGAGCCAAGCGAGCCAGGCGGGGAGCAAGTGATCATCCATATGGAAGGCGAAGAAAAGCACGGCCATGGTTTCGATCAGACTCAGGCAACAGAACGTCGTGTTAATCAGCATGAAGAGATCGATCCAAAGCAGCTCTCCGCACACAGGAACGAACTTCGCAACGGTTCCCTTGATGACCCCTACAAGGAGGAGCACGGTGATCCCGAAAGACAGGCGCTCGCCGACCTCGTGCGACATGAAGAAGACACCAAAGGAGAGGTAGGTGGTGAGCACCGTCGGAAAGATTATCAGAAGCAAATAGTAAAAACTGGCCCGGCCCAGTGTGATGGTGTACTTCACCAGCGTCCATGGTTCGCTAGGGGAGTTTGAATCGAAGTTGGTGGTCTTCTCGACATCTATCGCCTCGATGCTATATTCCTGGTATGAAGACCCAGCCGTTTCCTCTGTGGATTTCGCATAGCCTCGGCCCATAAGCTCGATGCCTTGGAAACCGCCAGAAAATGTCCAACCAGCCCAATACATTGAACATTTCAGATGGTCGAAGGGGAAGGCGACCAAGCCGGAGAACTTACAAAGCGTGTCTAGCAACCCGGGCCGGCTCCAGAACACGTTTCCGGCGCTGCCCACAACGGCATTCGTGGTGTCGAGCGAGAGCTCGGTACCAACATTGGCATTCCAGAGCTGAATGTCAGGCATCCAAATCTCTGAGTTCTCCCTGTCAGTGTTGTGTCGGCTCAAGAAATGAACCTGGCTTATGTTGCCATACTCCGCGGGATTCCAGCTCAGGCGCTGATCAATCCAGCCCATGCGAACCCAGACCTTGAGGCGCATCTGGCCAGTCGAGTCATCGAGCCCTTGTGCCTTGAAGCAAAACCCCTTGAAACCCTGAACCCTAAACCCTTCGTCATGACAGGGTCGAGCGGATCTGGCTGGTCCCCATAAAACCTAAACCCTGAACCCCTGGTTGATATGGTGAACTAGCCGCGGCAGTGGTTTCGAGGAACTGTCATGGATTGGCAGCTTGCTTAAACCCCTTGTGCCTTGAAGAAGTTGATTTGCATTTCAACCTCCGTCCCAGCGCCGCTGTAGTGAGCCAGGCGATCGCTTGCTGGAGGCACAACCCTGTCATAGCCCTTCCTTAGCCGCCCTTCGCATACCAAATGATTCTGAAAAATTACTCTTGCTTATCCCCTGAAGTTTTTTTGTGAGAAATTGCACATACTCGACATAAGTCCTAAGAGCAGTCAAGCTTCAGCAGGTCGCGGCGCAAACGCGAGGCCTCCCGGCCAAAGGGCTTTGTGAAGGTCGCATCCAACGCCTGCGGCGTCCGGAAGGTCAGAAGAATCAGGAGCGAAAGCCGGAGCGCAGGTACCATCACAGTCTCACCGCGTCGGCTCGAGATGCATCTTGAGCCGGATGTGTTTTGAGCGTGGACGTGTACACAAAGGCAACCTACATGGGCTTAAGACTTCGAGATGCATGGGGTTTCATCGTTACTCAGCCGATGTCTTTGGAGGCAAAACGGCGCTGCACTCTCCGGCGCTCCTGGTATTACATGTCATGGATGCATACAACATGTTGTTCTGCTGTATGTGCACTGCTCATCAAAACGCTTGGCACTTGGACTGACTTCCGTGTGTCCTCCCTGCTCACCCATATAGCTACTATATGCCCATTATAGAGCCCATTATAGGGTAAGGGGGTCTCCAGTAAGGGTCCCTCCTTTTCCCCTTTGATCCCTTCGAGCCTCCGGTGGTTCTTCTGCCTTCTGGAGCTCAGCCACCTTCGCCATGGCACTCGGGTCGAACCTGATGGGACATGATGGGTTAGGGTTTAGGGTTTAGGGTTTAGGGTTTAGGGTTTAGGGTTTAGGGTTTTGGCTCAGGAGCAAGCAAGCTCTCGGGCAAGGAGGGAGCCTAACAAAACAGCCCGTCCCGAGTAGCCCTCAAATCGATCAATTGGATGGTCCATTCCAGGGCTTCTCCAAGAAGACTTTGCGGCTTCTGAGAGGCTTGGGCCACCAGCAAAGGTAACATGTGGGAGTTTCCGAAAATAGGGGACCCTAATATAGTACCCTATATAGTAGGATCCTCATTATAAGGACCCCAAAATAAGGTCCCCCCTATTTTCTGAAACTCCCATGTTCTGAGCGGTCCGAGATCGCGGCTCTGGCGCATTGGCGTTCAAGCCGTTGCTCCTCGGCTCGCGGCGTGAGCTTGGAGGAAACTTTGTTCTCTTTTGGCTCAGAAGCTATTTTCAACCCTGTTCATGCCACTTGGTTCGTGCAAGGGGCCAGATTGGAGCTTTGATGGACATGGCGAAGCATCGAACCGATATGGGGCGATTTAGAGGCCTTGGGTGGTACCTTCGAAGAAGCCATACAACAACAAACGACAGATGCCCGAACGGGCCTTAGGGCCTAGAGGAGACGTGCAACCTGTTCTGCAGATAACCTTGTGATGGTGTCATACGGCTGATGGAGAAAATCCTAGCTGCCTTACCCATTATAAGGAAGATACCATAATTCCCAAAGTTTAGAGTCCTTAGGGTCATGCAGGATTTTGTCCATCAACAGTATGAAGCCTTTGATCCGTGTTGTGCATGGTTCGGACCGAGTCCCTCGCGGTGCTGTCTGGCCCTGGCCAAGCCCCGGGTACGTCTGCGCCATCTGCGACTGCCTTCCAAGATGCTGGCACATCTATCTGCTCCGCCGTTCGAGTAATTATGAATAAATTATGAACAAGCTCCGAGGCTCTGGCATGCCACCACCCATCTGCTGCATGGCGGCCATCTGCTGCATCATTGCAGCCATCCTCATTTCGAAATGTGGCATTCATATCGCAATCCATGGTGATTTCGAGAAAAAAACATTAAGGCCTTAAGGAGACACAAACAGATCGGTCGCTGCAGAGATTCTGCATCTGCTGCATCTGCTGCATCTGCGATGTCCTGGGAGTGGGGGTCATTTCTGAGTTGAGAAGACTCGAGGCGCCGAGAAGCTCCCCACCCCGCGCAGCACTACCCACGACACACCAATCATCCCAACTTCGAAAGATAGCACGCATTGGAGGATCGGGCCCCGGCTGCCCTTGATAGCCCTGCGCCTGCCCCTGCATCTGAGGGTTCCTCGGGATGTTTTCGGATTTAAGCTCACAGCTCTCACCCTGCGGATATGGCAATTTTCACACTACGGCGCTGTCGACAGGCAACACTCTCGCAAGCTGATAGCAGACGCAGGCATTGCCACCTTGTGACACGTGGAAGTCAATCAGTACAGAATAATGGCCTGTTGGCAAACATGTTCACCTTGAACTTCACTGCTGCTTGATGGGAGGACCAGAAGACATGAGCTGACGGCTCACGGAACAACTCCGGGAAGCCTTAGCCAAATTCAACGGAGAGGCATGCCGCCCATTTGCTGCTGCATGGCCATCTGCTGCATCATCGCCATCCTCGGGGTCTCTCCAGTGCCGAATTGGGGCCTTAACCAGTAGGTTTCGTGAAGTTTCGGCATATTCTTTGTTCGGGCAGCATAACAAGGAACTCGATGGATTCATATTGGTAACTGTTCCGGCTTCAATACTAAGCCTGTTCTATGATTTGCAGAAGCCATGGCAAGTACCATCTCTTGGCAATTCTGACCCGCAGCAGGTTTGCTGCCCAAGTCTCTGCTGCTGCAGTTGCTGCTGCATCTCCCGCTGAGATGACATGATGACCTTGGTTGGGGCATTCGTTTGGGCAATCCACGGTGTAAGACTGTGCAGGAGTTTCGACGCTCACACTCGCACAAGGCAGGCAAGGCTCCACATGTGCAGGAGTTTAGGGTTTCGAGATTGTTCAGCCCGCTACTGAGCAAGCCAGCCCGTCCGACCATCTCCCCAGCATCTTTTGCACAGCAGCATGCGAGCAACGGCGGCCGCGCTACCCTTGTCGTGTCTTGTTGTGCTAGGATTGCTAGGATGGCGTCTTCACGGCGGGTCCGGGCACAGGGTGCTGATCTTCCAGTGCCTCCATCCTGGTCCTACAAGAAGCCAAATGCACTGAGTGCTCCTCAATTCTTGCCACCACATCCAGCATCTCTTTGTGCAGCCTTTGGCTTGAAGCCTGGAGCTCCTGCAGCTGCAGCCTCATCTGCGCGTCTTCCGCAAGGGAGGCCTCCTCCATGGCACTCGCACGAAATGTCCGATCCATCCTCTCCAAGTGAGTGACTCGACTGGCCAAATCAAGGGCCAACTCCTGCATCTGAGCTTGGTGGCTTGACAGAGTCGACTCCTCCTCGGCCTCGGAAGCCAGCTTGGTCAAGAGGGCCTGATGCTTTGTCAGGCCTCTGATTGTATTCATGGAAGTCTCCAAGGCATCCTCCAAGGCTCCCATCTTGCTCTGATACACCTGCACACTGGCCTGGACTGCCTCGAGTTGGCTGGCCAGCCGCTCCTCCACGCAGCTCAGGTGACGAGCCTGTGCCGAAACCGTCTCCTTCGCACCGGCCGTCGCCCCGAGAAGCTCGCCCAGCTGCAGCCTGAGAGAGGACCATGCACAATCAGAAAAATCCACTAGTACTAGTAGTAGTACTAGTAGTAGTACTAGTAGTAAGTAGTATATATAGTATGTATATAGTATGATAGTGGTCGTAGTCATAGACATGTATCTGCATGGCCAAGGAGCTCCAGCTTGGGAAGGCTCCTCTCAAGCTGCCCCACGCGCGAGTCTAAGCCTGCAGTTTCGGACACTGCACAGTGCCCAGGCCCATACCCTTACGAAGTAATCGACCACAGCCGCATACAGTCGGTGATGGCGTGCCAAAGCCTACTCTGATGGCTGGCTTCTCAACACGCGGCAACATGCCTGCACCCCAACCCTGAACTAGCAAGAAGACTTGGGACTGTAGTCTACTGTATCCTCACCGCCTATGAACTCAGGGATGTCTTGGACTACACACGCTGCGCGAGCAATACCTAGCTTTGTGGCAATAAATAACCAACAGGTTGCGCGGGATCAAGACACTTTCCTTCACAACTGACTAAACAAGAGGCTACAACATGCTGCAACACAATTGGGCTTTGCAAAAATACATGTTAGGCCTTCCTCTAACAGTAGCTCTTTATGTGGTTTTGGGTACCACAGTGAACACTTAAATCTGGACAAGTGGACACGTAAATCTGGACGAAGTGAACACTCCTTGTGGTGGGAAAGTGAACACTTATCCTGGCCAGGTGGACACTTATTTTGCTGGGAAGCTGAACACATATCCTGACCCGGCGAACACATACTTTGCTGGGAAACTGAACACTTATCCTGGACAGGTGAACACTTATCTTGGTTGGGAAAATGAACACTTGAGAACAAATTTAAGTGTTCACTTGTCCAGATTTGAGAATAAGTTCTAACTTTCTCACAAAAATTCTTCACCGGGCCAAGATACGTGTTCACTTTCCCATCAAACTTTAAGTAGTTGTTCACCGGGCCAGGAGAAGTGTTCACTTTCCCACCAGAATGTGAGTGTTCACCGGGCCAGGATAAGGGTTCACTTTCCCAGCAAAATAAGTGCTCACCGGGCCAGGATAAGTGTTCACATTCCCAGCAAAATACGTGCTCCCCGGGCATGAGTGTTCACATTCCAAGCAAAATAAGTGCTCAGAGGGCCTAAATAAATGTGCACTCTGCACCAAAAATAAGTGTTCACTTGGCCAGGATAAGGTCGCTTTCCCAGCACAATAAGTGTTCACCAGGCCTAGACGATAAGTGTTCACCTTCCCCACAAAATAAGTGTTCACTTGGCCGGATAAGTGTTCAAAGCCATACCCAATCACAACCGAAATGAGCCAGGACATCCGATCTGAAGAGGGGGTCGTTTTACTGCTAGAGGCATTCCAAAAAAATGTTGATTTACACATGTCCAGAAGGAGCTATTTGTTTCACCTGCTCTGATCTAATGAAGGCAACAGATCACATGGCATAGCTCTGATGAAGTCTGGCGCAGCTCGGCCGGGCCTTGAGGAGCGTCTGGTGCCAGCTTCTGCATGCACTGGTCTAGCCGCCTCTGGGCGAAAAGCTCGGAAAGGCTGGAGAGATGGGTCAAAATCTACATCCTACTCTATGGTCAAATGGTCAGCTTCGCAGTCTCAAGGCGCCTCTCCAAAGAGGCCAGCTTCTGCGCCACCTCCGTCTTCCACGAATCTGCCCCATGCGGCGTAGATGCGCTCATGGCGATGTTTCAGTAGAGCGCGAGATGCTGCGGCAAAAGCTGCGAAACGACACCGTCTCCTTAATCGCAGAGATGTTTGTGGCCGATGCAGGTAAAGGCAAAGGATGCGCGATGCAATGCTGCTCAGCTCTGCAACTTGGAATTCTTGGGAGCCACAGGAAGGCGCACAA